TTAATGGCAGTGTAGGCTTAAAACAAAGAAGTACATTCAAAGTGTGAGATTCAAGCTTATAATGTTTCCTTGGGGCATGGAGGCACCTTCATAAATCTGACCTCAGTCAGGGCAAACTTAGAAACATGCTGCTTTATCTAGTGCCAAAGGGAAAAAGTGGAGGAAGATCCATATTTAATTTCCTCTTTAGTCTTAAGGCTTTCCACTGTGCTTGTAAAATGACTAATTGAAATTAATCAGACTTGTACAGCTTCATAAGCAGACTGTATCTAGTTGCCTTAAGTTTGAGACAAAATGATGACTCTAACGCTTAATATGGTAAAGAACTAGAGTGGGCAATCCTTATTGCAGAAGCATAGCTGTCATTATGGACTATCTTATTTGCAGTCTCTTTTTCACAGCTCTACATTATAGCTGAAACTGGTACTTTTTAAATGGTTCTCATGGAAACCTAAGTTATTGTCTGGCTAATGAGGCAAATCAGAGGCTCATCTGTCATGAGGTGAACCTTGTCTCCTTAGCCTGTTCTTACAGTGTGTGCTGAAATATTTCCAGGTCCTTTCACAAACTGATTTCAAGAGGGCTTTTCTGACTCACTTGAGTAATTTACCACTAAGCGCTTGCTTGTTTGTTGGCAGAACACTCTCTTTCCCAAACTCTGTTGCAAACTTTGGTCCTTTTGGGTCTTCTATGCCAATCCAGATGCCTGAGTTTAGTTTCTTCACTGCTAACAGAGGAACACCATATGCTGATAATTGACATTGCCAGATATATCAGTGTGCTTTATTTTTGTGCCAGGAGATAGGGAAAAATCATTGCCTACTGTAATAGAAGATAGGCAGAAAAAATGAGTTAAGCAAGAAAAAGGTTCCCATTCTACCATTGTCTGCAGGAAAGCAGTTTTGGGTTTTTTTTCCAGTTCTCTTGACAGTCTTCTAAACTTGTTTCACTATTACTCTGAGAAAGGGTCAACTGTGTTCTATTAATGTACTATCATCCCCAGCAATATTAAACTATCCTTATTAAATGCCTCCCTCACCCCTACTATATCTGTTCTAGCATGCAGAGATAGCTGTACCTCAGAAATATCAGTAGTGGGCAATGATTGCTTTAAATTGTGAAATATTTTTGTTAATAAATTTCCCATGGCTGTATATGTGTGGATATATATATATATATGTATATATGTATATCACCAACCTGTTTTTTAATGCTCCTTGAAACGGAGCTACCCTTTTTGCTGTAACTTGGGTATTCTACTTATCTATGGAATAATATTGGGAACATGCCCAGTAAATAGCAAGCTTTTCTCCAAGCTAGGAGCAGCTTATGATGTTTCCCTGATGAGGTATTCTGTAAGTGTGAGGAATAGGAGCCAAGGTCTGTAACTAACTTTAGGCATACAGCTGAGCCTCTGTCTATAGTCAACAGAAAGAGAGAAAGGGCTTGAAACCAGACATCCTCTTTGGAGGGGTCTAGCTTTGATTACAGGGGGAGCTAAAACAGCCAGACTTGGCACTTAAGGTGCCTTCCTTATTGCATGTTTGAAGATGAATGTGTGTGCTTATAGGCTTTGACAAGAATGATGCAAGCATCCCTAAAGTGCTTGTTTTCTGTAGGCTTTGACAAGGTTTATTCTATCAATTTGGATTTTATTATGAAATTGTCTTGAATTGGAGAGTTAGAACTTTTTAAAAGAATAAAGAAAAGAGCAGCTATATCTGTCTAGAGCCTTTGGTAAGGGATGGATTAGCTGTATGGTATGTGGTTGAGCAGGGAATGTTCCATTGTCAATTATCTTGCTTCTGCTATGGCTCTTAAACGCCAAAAAGGGAATCCCTGTTTTTGTATGGAGTTATTCATTTGGGGGTGTCACTTAACATGGCAAAAATTGTTCAAAGCATGTATTAGTCAGAATTGCTCTTGACTGCAGAATTCTTGACTGATGAGCTTTACTTTCAGCATCCTTTGGGCCGGATAAACTTGGCTAACTGCACAAATCATCAGATTGAACCTGCCAACAGGGAGTTCTGTGCCCGTCCCAACACTTTTGAACTAATAACTGTCCGACCTCAGAGGGAAGATGACAGAGAGACTCTTGTCAGCCAGTGCAGAGACACCCTCTGTGTTACAAAGTGAGTAGATAGATAAAATGCTACTTAGTGTTCCGTGGATGATCATCTTGACATTTTTTGGAAGAACTAAGTAGAGGCAGAGAAAGGCATACCTAATCCTTTGGGTTCTTTGCCTTTTAGGAACTGGCTGTCTGCTGATACTAAAGAAGAGCGTAATATTTGGATGCAAAAGCTCAACCAAGTCCTTGTTGACCTTCGCATGTGGCAGCCAGATGCCTGCTATAAACCAATTGGAAAGCTTTAAACTCTGGAAGGGAAATGCAAAGAAAATATGTGTACAAAACCTGCATGAACTACACAACAAAAAAAAGAAATGGAAATGTGGGAAGTCTTCTGGGTCACTTATGCTTTAAATTTCAGAGTATTTAACATTATACAGGAGTATATTATGCAGTATTTTTGTTTCACTTTTAAGAATTTTAAAGCTTTTTTTACTTCCTAGCTTTTGAGTATGATGGAAGTAATCAGCTGTTTGCTAAATGTGCTGGATAACTCCTCTTTTTTTTGGAAGTCTTTTTTAGCTAAGTACATTCTTTTCTTTAAACAACTACTGCAGGAAATCGCACTCCAGGGGAGGAAGGGGGGCAAGCTAGTGAAAAAACAAGCTTCCTAGATAACTGTGCTCCCTGAAAGAAACAATAGCTCAGAGTTTCCTAACAAGGATGATGCTGAGGAACATTTACTATTGGAGGGTTTGCCAGGTTGTTTTTGTAATGATCAGGCATAGAAGTTATATTCTACAACATGCATTAGAGGTATTTCCTGCTTGCACAGTGTCCTTGCAGCCAGAACAAAACACATGCACAATATATTCATACATCTTTTGCTATTTCTCATACCAACTGGTATGGGTAAGTGCATGGCATGTATACTATGTGGTTTACAGGTGTGGAATTATGTATGCATTATACTGCACTTTGATAGAGATGAATGGTCTTGATTATTTTTGTTAGGACTGCTATATTAAAAAAAGAGAGAAAAATAATATTAGGGTTGTATATGTCAGTATTTCCTGGGGCTTATGGTTTTTACAAGTTGGAGTTCTCCATTTGAGAACCAGGAGCAGGTTGTAAAAGTACTTTTTCTTAATATAAGACACTACGAAGCTGCTATGTACCAACTAATGCTCTACTGATGAGAAGTATGGCTCTTCTCCCCCTTCATAGACATGTCCATAAATGCAGATAACAGCAGCACTTCAGAGCCATCCATAAAATAACAAAACTTCTCAGTTAAAACTTACAATTTTCACAGCTTTTCACTGGGCTTGGTGAAATACCAGCTCATTAATTGCAAATGCAATAGTGGAATACTTATAATTGCTATTGCTGTCATGTATTCACACTTGAAACACTAAATTCTGTTAGCTTATACTGTTTTCATCCTGCCACTTATGTCATTTCTTTTACATCTAGTTTTCTCTTTCTGATGTCTTTAAATATTTCCAACCTATGTATTGAGATTTATTTTATCCATTTAAAATAAAGAAGACACTTTCTCCTTGGTTCATTGTGTCTTCTGTGCATTTGAGATACCAATTTGTAGGCTGAAGAAGAAAAGCTGGGCTGCAAAAAATGTTTAAGAAAGGATTCTCCCATTCAGAATGTGAAACTCAAAATACTACTTGATTGGGGAAGGAAATGTGATGCCTTGGGAGTACCAATACTACATGGACAGTGGACACAGGGCAGACTGTCCACTTACTTAAATTTCCATGTGGAGTCTTCAAAGAGACCATACTCCATGAATTCAAGTAGCTTCAGGTGCCTGTAGATGCTCAATACCTCAAAAATAGTTCTTAGGGTGTGATTTCAAACCAAGCTTTCATTCTGGGAAAAGAGTTTATGAGCAAAATGGCATAAACCAACCCTCCTATGTGCAGTGCATTGAAACCGGCCAGTGGCATAATCCCTCACCTATTCAGCTGCTCTGAAAGGCCCTCCTATACCATTCCTTCTACAAATCTGTACTGCTCCAGTGTTTGAATCTCACGAAACCTTGTTCGACTTCAACCTGTTTAAGCACCAGGAGCCATTTAAAACTAATGGCACGGACCAGGATTCATAGCTTGATACTGCTTTTTATAATAATCAGCTTTTTTGGGAGCATTTCTTTAAATATAGGGCTTATATTTTTAGAGCGGTACTGGGACGCGATTGGTTGTGGTGCAGAAATTCAGCTGGTTTTTGCAGCTGAATTCTATTTTCTTTGAAATAGAATCACAGAATCACACAACACAGACGTTTAAAAATCCATTTCTAATTTCTTTTAAACTGATTGGACTCCTGACTGTCCTGGAGAACAGCTGAACAGTTTGTAATCCTGAACAGTAAGTTAAAGGTGATTTAAATACCTAAGGGGTCCAAGTTGGAAAGCACCTCAAAACTCATCCAGCTCCAACCCCTGCCACGGGCAGGGACACCTTCCACTGGAGCAGCTTGCTCCAAGCCCCTGTGTCCAACCTGGCCTTGAGCACTGCCAGGGATGGGACAGCCACAGCTTCTCTGGGCACCCTGTGCCAGCGCCTCAGCACCCTCACAGGGAAGAGCTTCTGCCTAAGAGCTCATCTCAGTCTCCCCTCTGGCAGGTTAAAGCCATTCCCCTTGGCCTGTCCCTACAGGCCCTTGTACCAAGTCCCTCTCCAGGTTTCTTGTAGGCCCCTTTAGGCCCTAGAAAGATGGAGTGGTTGTAAAAGCTGATGGCTTAATATGCCCCAAATTCATCTTTATTTCTGCATAGTTACTGCATTGGTAAGCCAAGCTCCTGCAGAGCTTGCCTCCAAGGTGTGTTCTGTGTTCCTTTGGTCAGTGGCAAGCCTTTTGTTTCGTTATGTCCCTAAGACACCCTTTGCCAAGCACAGAGCAATTGCACTGGGCAGATCCAAGAGCTTTATTTTGGGTTCCAGGTCATCTTTGAGAAGATGCTGTTCTAATTTTACAAGAAAGCTTTTTTTCCCCATTGTTCACAAATTCAAGATGTTCACTAATAAGTCTATAAATGGAAAATGCTTTGCTCTGGGCAATGAAGCTTATTTTAGCTAAGGAAATTTCAGTCTTACTAGCTTGTAAAACTCCTAATTGGTGTTATTAAATCCCAACCTCAAATGAAACACAATAATTTGCAATGGGATTGCTTGAAAATTGGGCTTCTAAACACACACTGTTCCCTTCCCCCTTTTAATTGCTATGCTTCTGTATTTTGGCGTCAAGGCAATTATCTGATATTCTCTAATTGTTGTCTGTGCTGTAGTTGGTCTATAGTAAAACCATGTGGATGCACTTGTTCCTTCTACCCACTTGTTTTTAATGGAAGATAGGAAGCCTGAACAGGTAATAAAAGATACTTAGGGGTGTTCTACCTGGCCAGCATGCAGCAAATGGTGGAGAGACTTTGCATGGAAAGCAGGTAGGTTTCCTTTTCCTTCTAATGCTAGCTGGCCTTCCTCAGGCATGCCTCTGCGGAGCTGGAACGGTTTCTTGGGAGAGGGGGTGTTTTGCTGACATTTAAACGCCTTCAATGAATTTTGGGCCTTATTAGGAAGTATCATTCAGTTAAGGAATGTAATCCCTACTGGTTTCCTAAAGCAGGCGACATGAATATTTACTTAAATGTTAGCAGTTGTCCCAAAGGAATTTCTACCTTCAAAGCTGCAGTGTTGACTGTGCTGCCGTTCTGTGTTGTCTGATCCCTTCATCACTGCTAAGGCTGTGAGCAGGGGACAGCTGCCTCTAATTTTGTCGTGTTTGCTGATTTTGTTACTGGATAAATCTGTGAAAAACCAGCTTGTGGCTCCCAACCTTCCAGTCTGCGTGAAGCCAAGCAGGTAAGGGCTGGCCAGTGTCTTCAGCGATTCCCTGGGTCCTACCTGCAAAAGCTACAGGACTAGGTACATCAGACTTGATAGGAAGAAAAAGAGCAAAGAGTTATTAAAGGTTGAAAAGGCAACCTGTTTTAAAGACACAAAGGGTTGTCAAGTTGCTGTCTTTTTAATGCTGGGAGTGGGGGGGGAAGAGAACTTGTGCTCAGCTGGTACTAATGCTGCCAGGCAAAGCCAAATTCCAGCACCTTGTTATTCCTGGCACATTTTAATAAGGAAATAGCAGCTAAATAATGTAGTGACACTCAGGGCAATTCCATACAATTTAGAGCAGCATAATGAGTTTGGGGTTTTCTTACCCACCGCTTCCTTCTGGGATCAGATTAACTGTTGGAACAGCACAAATGGAAAGCCTAGGAGTTCTGCAGGGGGTTGGAAAGGAGGCAGGGGTAGAAGTTTGCTATGTATGGTATTAAAATCCCATATGGATTTGCAAACCAGTACAAGTGGTCTAGCTGGCAGGTATCCTTTGACTTTTATTTTTGCATAGCATAGCCTACTTGTGCAGGTGAGATACAGACTGAAAAGAGCGCTGCTGTGTTATGTCCACTGCTACTGGCTCTGACAACTTGCCCTCTCCCTTTTTGAGTGTGTGTGTCTTTAATCATCTGGTTCCGTGGCATGCACTGGGAAGCATCACCATAAACCACGTCAGAGCTCCGGCTGTTTGAAGTCAGTGTCCACCTTGATCTTTGAATATAGCTTCTATCTGGTCATTGAATGGATTCTCCTTTCCGAGCACCTGAGGCCATTCCTGCAGTGCCTTCTGCCAGGTGATGCTTGTGCCGAGGGCTCCAGCAATCTGCAAACAGCACACAAACTGTCAACTTCTTGTGCAGTTCTTTCCTGGACGCATTTAGGAGACCCCACCGTAAAGACGACTCCCGTGTACAGCAGTGTGATGGACCATAACCTCTAATCAAAGAAGATGCCTCATTCCAGCTGCTTGACCAGGAAATCCTTCTGGACAGTTAAAATTAGGTGAGGACTAAATATTTACACCTCCCTGACCAGTTGTTCGGTCGATAGTCCCCAACTGCTTCCTGCTGCCTATGATGTCTGGTCCATAAATGTCTATTCAAAGCCCTAGAGTCTGATTTTATTGGGTTTTCTACTCCCAGGCCTTTTGACAGTATTTTAAAGCATCACTTGAATATAAGGTGTAAAACTCTTGCAAGCACAAAGGAATTCATGCTTCTAAATGCCTCTGATACTTCTAGCAAATATTGTCCTGTAAAGAAACCATAGGTGCTGAGGAGAAAGAGGCCCAATTATATCTAGATTAAAACTACCCAGCTCTGATGCTCTAAGTTTGTGCCTCCTGCAGGCTGTCTTTTAGAGCTCTGTTTTGCCCTGGAAGTTATGCACCAAACAGAAATTGTATGTGTTGTATTGGCAGGGTGAAAACCATCAGGGGATGTAGCAGAAAGCGGAAGAGACAACAGCCTGCTTCTCCTTGAACCAAGTTTTCACACCCTGCTAATGCATTTTTGTTTTAGCTTCTGACCCACAGTTACATTTTGCTTATATGGTAACTTTATTTTCAACCCTAAAACTCACTCTGGCATTGATTGTAATTGTGAGGCTTAAAAGGGCTATCAGAGCCTGCCTTTGTGTTGAGGGTGGAGGTGGGTTTATGGAATCAACGCTGTTGTTTGGAGTTTGGGAGCAGGCTGAAGCCTCTGGGGAATTTTAAATGCTTCTTTATAAGTCCTGTGCTTTGAAAGAAACTGTACCGATGGGCTGGGAGACAATGACTGTTCTGTTCAGAGCCCATGTACACCTGTGCGGTGGAAGCTCTTAGGCTCTGGCCACTTGGGGTCTCGGTAAGCTCCTGGAGGAACTGGCAGAGCAGAGGGATAGAGGAGGTTGTGCAATAGGGTGTTTTCTCCTGGTCGTGGTTATTCTAGGACACCCTATGGCTGCCAGAGGGCTGAGACCCATCCCTGCCAGAGGGGCATGGTAGTCTCCAAACATCTTTCATAAGTCCCTAACCCTCCATATGTTTTGTAGCAGGCTGGGTTGGATGTTTTGCCTGTTTATAAACCCTGCTGTCTGTGCACAGTGCAGCCTCTGCAAAGGCGTCACTGGAGGTGTGCTCTACAGTGTTCACAGTCCTGGTGACTGCACTTGAAGGCTTAGACTGCCCTAAATTCTGTAGGTCCTGCTTGGACATCATTTCATGTGGTCCCAGTGATTTTGGTTATTCACTGTGGCTGAGTAATGTGGCACAGAGAAGAATTCATGATTCTGGAAATCACTTACCTTACAGCTTGTCTTTAAACTCCAATGCTGCTGTGCTCTGAGAGCTGCTATAACTCATGTGGGGTTTGCAATTAAGTTTTGGTGAAGATGAAGTGCTTCTTTTAAAAGGCAATATTACCCATTCCTCTCTGAACTCTGGATGACTGCCACTGGAGGTGGCTGAGTTATTTCAGCAGCTTCTGGCTATCTGTTTTCTCCTGCTGCACCCAACTGGTGATAGGCATGCTTCTCAGCAAAGCAAAGGGAGAAGCTAATCATGCCCAAGCTGTGCTTTCCTGCCTGTACATAATCATTAAGGATCTTACAGGCGTCTCAGGTTCCAGTTTGTGATGCTCAGGGTTTTTGTGTGCTCCCTGTTAACTTCACAGAAGGAAGAAATGAAGCTGTTTATGCAGGATGCTGTTGAAACGCATGGCCCTGTCATCCAAACCTGGTCCAGAGAGAGGCGATGTCCTTGAGGCCATCTGGCATTCACAAGGATTTGCAGTGAAATGTTGTAGTAAGGAAGAGAGGCTGGAAAAAACAAATCCCTGGACTCCTCCTGTTGTCAATGGGAAGAGAAAGTCACAGCTCTTCCAAGGACAACCGAGCTGGACTTTAGGGAGTGATGTGTCTCAAAGGGAGCTCTAGAGGGGACTGAGGAGGGCGGAGTGATGCACTTGGCTTTTAGGTGCCAAAATGTGTGAATTTCCTGTGCCTGAGCTGGGTGCTGTGGAGGAGCACCTCATGGAGCCCTGTTCTAGCTTTGACACTGAAGAGGAATGCAGTTATGCCAGGAATGAGTGGTTTGTTTGCAACTTAATAAAAACATGCAGGAAAACCCCCTTCCTCTCCACTACATTTGCAGTGAGGGAACATGCCTTTGGGCCAGGCTAAACAAATGAGCATTGTCCTTATCTTTCTTTCTTATTTTCTTTCCTTTCTCCTTGCAATGAGGAGCCTCAGGTAGGAAGGTTCAGTTCCTTCCTGTATCCCTTCTGCATGGTGGAACTGACTACTGGATATACCTGCTGACATATGCTTCCGCCATGGTTATACCAGCAGATTAGTGTGGTTTAATTACAGGGACAGCAAGTAAATGGCAGGTGACATCCAGGGGACACATCAGCCACTGGCTTATCCTGCCTGGGGATCACGGTACACTTCCAGCTCACCCTTGGCACTGTGGTTCTTGTGTCCCAGACTCCAAGGTCTCCCCACATCTGTCAAGAGCTAAAATGTTAATGCTTTCCTTGGAGTGCTGCTGCTCGATTCAACAGCTGGAGAATATTTGTCAAGTGCTTTGGGATCTGCAGGGAGGAAATTCAGTAGAAATACCCAGGCTGGGTCTTATCTGTTGTATTTATTTGTCAGGCTGTACCTGAGGCACGAGAATAGCTGCAGAGATTGAAGTAAGTGCCCTCCTTCACTTGACAAGCTGCACAGCATCGGTCCTCTCCCACAAGGCGTATGTATGGTATGAAAGCTCTACCTGGCCAGAGGCATTCACTTTGGCACAAAGCAGAACTCTGAAACTAGTCTGAGGAGCGAGTTGTCTATCACCTCTCTCAAGTGTGCTCTTAAACATCCCTCTCTGCTCTCACTCCCCCCCCCCTTTATTAAGAGAGCCACTCTTTCAGAGCAGAGTGCTGTGTCTCTGTCCAAATAGTGGTGTGTTGATAACGGGCTCGGGTACACTAGCAGGGAAAGAAAAATGGATTTAAAGCAGTGGATGTTTGGATAAGGCTAATTAATAAACCCCGGGAGGGCAGTAGCTCACTTGGGCTGAGGCATATCTACAGCTGGCACCTTGGCTGTAAAGCAAAAGGTACCTATAAAAGCATTAATGTCATCCTAACAGCAGGAGGGGGAGATGAGAACCGCTGCAGGATGGCAGGTCAGGGGGAGAGAAATACGGCAGCGCTTGCTCATCCTGCAGCGCGGCACTCGGGGGGCTGTGTGTAGGTGTGCAGGGTCCTCCAGTGACCTTCTGTCATTTGCTTTTGGCTTAGGCAGGATCCCTTTCACATAAATACTCGCTGCCTTCAGCTCTACGTGCCTCCTTCCAGCTGCGGGGGTAAAATGCTGTGATCCATTGAGCTTGGCTTCCACAGCAGCCTGTTGATGGGGGTCATAAGAAGCCTCAGGCCAGCCTCACGGTAAGAGATAAATGCAAAACAGAGACCTTTTCTTCTTCGCTCCTGACTCCTGGTATCGCACAGATGGCAGGGTTGGGAATGGGGCTCATTTCATCTCTCTTCTCGCTCTCGTTTCATTTGCCAAGTTTTCTCTAATTGCTTCCTTGCAAAAGGCCTGCAGCAGAGAAATCCAGACAGGCTTTCCCCACCTCCCCAGGCTGCGAGCTCACACTTCCATGCATCTATCTCCTGGTGCTGTATGGTAGCCAGGTAGGAATTTCTGCTATGAAGCAGCCCCTCTTCAAACAGGAGGCTCTTTGGACTTGGCAAGGCTAAGCAAGCCACCGTGCTGCTCCCGCCAACCAGCACGGGTCTAAAAGATAGCAACTGAAGCACATCTTTTGCCTTTGAGCTTTCCCTGCAGGTCTTCCCTGGCTTAACTGACAGCAGAGCCGAAGGGGAAGCTGCTGGAATGTTGCAATCCATCAGTGTTTGCAGTGCATGCCCATTAAAGTGCTTCTCCACGGGCTGCTCCTTCCCAGGGTGCAAGACAGCACCCCATCAGGTTATTTGGTGATGGGGGCGTGGGAGTCAACAGGTATGGGGTATTGGCTCACATGGTAACACCAGTCCATGAATTCACCCCCTGCTTTTGGGCAGGGGAAGCTCAAGGCAAGCAGCACTGCCAGGGGCTAGGCAGCGTGGTGGGGTTCACTTGCATGGCTTGGTTGTAATGGGGTGGAAGAGCTTTCTCCAAACTCCCCTTGCCACGGCACAGAGCTGGTATCATGCACCACTGAGGATTGTCACTCCTCCTCCCAGCTGCCACCCGGACCTGTGTCCTTGGGCAGTGATGTTGGGAGTGGAGCTGGCTGCTTGGAGGGTGCATTTCCCCCATAGCAGCAGGTAGCAAGATAGTTCTGGAGCCATTGCTAAGTAAATGGGATGGAGAGCAGCTGCTGCTGTGGTGAGAGCCACTGCTGCTACACAGGGCCTCAGCTTGTGCAAAGTTTTATTCAGAGCAGTATGGGGAAGACTGGCTGCTGCTTTGCTCTGTGTGAGTGTTCCAAATCTGAAGCTAGTGTATAGAAAACTGAATGGTTTTGTCTGTAGCTGATGGCAGAACGTGCTCTCTGTGTGCCTCTTACAGAGTTCAGAAAATAATAGTTTGAATATCGTAGAATCCCAGCCTGGTTTGGGTTGAAAGCTCCTCCAGCTCCAACCCCTGCCACGGGCAGGGACCCCTTCCACTAGAGCAGCTTGCTCCAAGCCCCTGTGTCCAACCTGCCCTTGAGCACTGCCAGGGATGGGGCAGCCACAGCTTCTCTGGGCACCCTGTGCCAGCGCCTCAGCACCCTCACAGGGAAGAGCTTCTGCCTAAGAGCTCATCTCAGTCTCCCCTCGGGCAGGTTAAAGCCATTCCCCTTGGCCTGTCCCTACAGGCCCTTGTCCCAAGCCCCTCTCCAGGTTTCCTGCAGCCCCTTTAGGCACTGGAGCTGCTCTCAGGTCTCCCCTTCAGGAGCCTTCTCTTCTCCAGGCTGCCCCAGCCCAGCTCTCTCAGCCTGGCTCCAGAGCAGAGCTGCTCCAGCCCTTGCAGCATCCCTATGGCCTCCTCTGCCCTCGCTCCAGCAGCTCCACGTCCCTCTTGTGCTGCTGCCCCACAGCTGGATCAGGGCTGCAGGGGGGTCTCCCCAGAGCAGAGAACAGGAGGAGAATGCCCCAGACCCGGTCCCTGCAGTGTGCTGCCCATTCCCCCCTGCTCCCACCCGTCTCCAGGGGTGGGTTTTTACCTGGCTGGGGTGGAAGCCATCAACTGGTTCGATCAGCTGCCAGGGCTCACCTCCCATCCTGCGCCACTTCTCGGCCGCTGCAGACAGTGTAAGCAGAGGGGTTACCACCGGTGAGCACACAGGCGCCTGCCCAGAGACGTACCCCTTCCCTCAAAGCACAGAGAGCTCTGCATGCAGATGATGGTAACTCGCACACAGTTCTCAGAGCCATACCTTGTGCAATCCCCTCTGCGCGGGGCAGTATTTAAGCCCTTATTGTTTGTTTTTTTTTCCTCTGCCGTATTTATGCAAGGAAGTGCTTTGAACATAAATGATCGTAAACCAATTCACTTTCCCTCCCTAGCAAGATGGATGCTGTAGCGAGTAAAGCTGTAAATTATTTAACACTGATTTAATACTTTTGCATTTCTCATTTCAGTTGCATCTTCAGCAGTGCAAAAAACCTAGGGAGATAAAGAAAACAGTGCTTTTCAGAGACAGAGATGGCAGCACAGTATTCACATGGGCTGATGTCTGCAGGAATAGGCTGTCATTTTCAGTTACTTCTGAGCAGCCTTTTTCAGCTCCAACAAAATAACCTTTTGAATTACAGAAGCATGACAGTCAATGCAAATGATGCTGCGCTGTAAGCCCCAGAGCCATTAGAGAAGTAAAAGTCTTTCTCTCTTCAAAAGGGCTGTGGAGTGATTAAGCATAGGACTAGTGGATATGGCATTAACAGACTGTAAACTCAATGATTTCTTTTATAATGACAGGTTAAGAATTCTTAACAGCATTATGGGGGCATCCTGTCAGGAGGAAAACGTTCTCTGTTCAAGCACCATGGTTTTGACATAGACTCACTGCTGTTTGATGCGCCCTGTCAAAAAGTGATGTTTGGGTCCCCATACTAACTCTGAATTCACAGAAGGCTGATATTCCCACTTTGCCTATAGAAACCTACTTGAGATGCTTTACAGCCAAAGTAACCTGTTTCAAGACACAGGACTTGGAGCTTTGTTTCAAATTGTACGTTGGGCACAGAAGGTTCACCTTAGATTACACCACGGAGCACACATACAGATGCACAGAATGAGCTTGCCTAATTGCTCATACATGATACAAGTACAAGGCTATGTGCTGTGTTTTGCTTTGCAGAGGGATGACTATTCCAGCATCAGAAACAGCAGAGGAGTGAGTAAGAGAAGTAAGGCTTATATCAAGGTAGGTCAATGTAGACCATTATAATTGACCTGCAAACATCCTAGAGCAGTTGAACAAATACCCACAAACAATGCCATGAGTTTGTCTTAAAAGTGCCTATTGCCTTGGCTACACTAGAGCTTGCTCCCATCCACACTGGGAAAAAGCTGAAACAACCACCCCATACCCTATTTATTGCACTACTTGTTAAAGGACCCACTAAGTTCTTCATCCAAAGTCAACAGAGAATCATGGAATGGTTGGGTTGAATAGGACCTTAAAGCTCCTCCAGCTTCAACCCCTGCCTCGGGCAGGGACCCCTTCCACTAGAGCAGCTTGCTTCAAGCCCCTGTGTCCAACCTGCCCTTGAACACTGCCAGGGATGGGGCAGCCACAGCTTCTCTGGGCACCCTGTGCCAGCGCCTCAGCACTTGACTGAGCTTGACTGTCCATCTAAACCTTGGATCAATACTAGTATACCCAAATTTTACTCCTAGAAAGCTGGGAGCTGATATATATATATATATGCCTGGGGCAGCCTGAAATCAATGTGCTCATCACAGTGTGCAACCACTGCTAAATATTTGATGTCTGGAGAGCTTAGGGGAGGATTTGCACTTGCTTCAGAAAGAGGCCAGAAAAGTAGGTCAGCAGGCTCAGCTGCCTTTGGAGCACTCACGAAGCGACAGCTTTCCTTATGGCAAGCTCCCTCCAATCGTTGGCTCCGGGGCTTCGGGCAACTTTGCAAAGTGCCTTCCAGCGCTGATGTTTGTATGTGCATGTGAAATGTTGTTTACCTCCTTCATTTAATGCGATGTAATCAGAACAGCAAATTATATTAGATGTTTCTTTATGTGAAAGCAAATAAATTACCTAAAGTTAGTCATTTAACTTATTAAAGCAATTTGCCTACCCAGCAGGTAGTTCGATCCAAACCCTAATGACTTCGTAAATATTAAGTAGTTAGGTCGAAAGCTGCAAAGAGCCTAGGACATCCTGAAACACTGTGCTGCAGTATTGAACCTGACACAGAACTACCTCTCTATGTGAATATGAACTCAATCCCTCACCTCATGCTGATTCAGTTCTCAGATAGGAAGAGCGAGTGTGTTTCTCCTTGCGATGGAGCTGGGCTGATGTTGAGTGATGCCTCAAGATGGACCCACGCACATCTTGCAAGGGAAATGGAGCTGAGAGGGATGCAGGGACAAGCGTCTGTCCCCGGCCCCACAAGGACACTGTCCATTTCATAACAAGAAAAGGTTTCTGGTTCTTTTGTGGGTTTTCTTTAAGTGTCAGTGCAGAAGGAAGTGATTTAGGTAATGAGCTTACCTAATGTCACTTAAGAGCACAAAAGGATGAGTTCTGTAAGCTCCCCAAGTCGTAAGTCACAGTAGCATACAGGTGCTTCAGGAAGGCCTGAGGCAACTGCTCATCCCAGAGGAGGCAATATGGTCAGTGATACGGTAAACTACAGCCCCTGAAGACCACCTTCACCGTTGCAGATGTGCCATCTCCAGCCTCACCACCACCACTCCCTGCCACCCAGCGTGCTGCACAGCAGGGTTGTGGGTGCCAGCAGCGAGGAGCGGTGTGGAGGTTATGGTCCCTATGGTCCCCGTACAGAGCTAAACCAGGAGAGCATCCCACCAGCCCAGCACTTGAGTAAATGCTTTGTGAGGAGGTCAGGAAAAAAAAAGCAACTTACTTTGTCTCAGTGGGAAATCCATGTAGAAAATATCAAAGTTGGCGAATTTCTCAGATCTCGCTATTTCTTTCAGGACATTGGAAAGCTGTAAAGCTCTCTGCAAAAACCAAGTGATTTAATGATGATTCATTGCTACTCACGCTGCTTTGCATGGCTTCAGCTTTTGTCACTGATGTGCAGTCAGGAATGTGAAAGCTAACGTTGTCCTTTTAGCTGGAGGGAAGGAGGTGGAATGGGGTTCTTCATCATCATATAGGCTTGCATAAGCACCAACAGCCGTTGGGCTACGCGGTTCACCATGCAGTCCATCACTGCAGGTTGCACCGAGGCCTCAGCTGAGGTCATAATACAGCATATGTGTCTAAGCCTCTATCAATATTCTGAATTTCTCTGTGTTGGGGGTCTCTTGACGAGCGGCAGCCCGGTCATTTTCATGGCTCTTAGAGAAAACTGAAGTTTCTACAGCAAAAATGCTTGCCTTTCCCATTATCCTTTCTGCTACTGTGTTGTGGGTGCTAATACCATGTCGTGCCCTTACTGTCAGCAGAGTAAATGGACATCTAACTGAGTGATATATCCAGTGTGATTCCTACAGCTGTAACAGAGATCAGGACCTCCTAAATATTTAAGCTGTGCCGTTTGGATAATAACATAGACAATTAGTTTCAGACAGGGGCTCAGAAGGAAGATTAATGCATACCCTGCAGACATACGCGTTGTTCATGGACAGAGGTTACATGTTCTGGATTGTTGGTATGAATTTATAAGCTGCAGTCCTGCAAAGACTTAGAGATGTGCTTAATTGCCTCTCTGAAGTCAAGAGAGGCCATAAAATGAAGCACGTATGTAAGCCCTGGTGAAATTAAGGCCGTATTTTTGGTTTAGTGAATGCAAACATGAATACAACTATACATGGAGATGACGTATTTGGTTACTGGGCCTTTTACAGGGTTGCAGGGGGTGTATTGTATTGTAAGGGAGGAAGCGTCTGCTATGCTGTGACATTCACTTCCAAAACCAGATTTGTAGGGTGAATTTTAGGACATCTCTGTTCTGTCTGTTCCCATTGCTGCGCTGAGCCCGGCTGCTCCTCGGTCACACCGTCTGCTGGTGAAGTCCACAGGGATGTGTCTGAGGCAGATTAGCACAAATCCTGAATGAAGACAGGCTAAGGCTCTTGCTCTAGGGGCCTGCTCCCTCTGCCAGCAAAATTATGCAGTTGGCTTTTCATATTCACTGCTATACGACCCACAACCCTTGTCTTTCTTATCAGGTATGTTTTCTCCTTACAGAATATAAACTCAATTTTTTCTCAGGGAGATCACATCCTTTAAGAATGAATTTGGGCAGCTGAGAGGTTGCAAGGGGAATACATTCATGAATCCATTAACCATGCTGGCACCCAGAGCCTCAGAGGCATTTGAAAGGATGGGTATCGATGTTTCCCCATCCTCTCCTCACCTCTGGGAGAAAAAAGTGTGCTGACATGTTGCCTTTGAGATATTAGACTTATATCCTCAGGCACAGGAGCGTCTGTGCAAGAGGCCTTCCTTGAGACTTACCTCTGAGGTCAAGTTTCTGAGGGTCTCATTGGCAGTCATCCAGCCCCTGCAGGGGCTCACCTGGCCAGGCACAAGGAGCAGGGCTTGAGCAGTGGGGCGAGGGGAAAGGGGGCTCATAAGCGACAGCCAAAGACCTTACCTGGAGGCAGTCGAGGAAAGAATACAGTTGGCTGTATGTGATATCCCTGTTCAGCTGCCCTGCAAAGCACAGAGAGGGAAACATCATGTGCCTGATGGCCAAACGCAGGTCTGTCTGTTCTCATGCACCAAGTGCATCCCACCGATGCATCCTTCCTGCTGAAGGTACCCATGTGCCCACAGCCTCCGGGATGCTCCCACATCCCTCTCCAGCCTGTCATGGGTGATCCGTCTCGCACTCGGGGTTAGTCACCACAGCCTGTGCCAGTGCCCGAAGTGCGTGACTGATATTTCACCCATTAACGTGTCTCTCACCCTCTGAAGAAGTGCAGGGCTTGTGAAGCTGAAGGGAAGATTGGAGGTGCTGTACGTACTCTGAGTCTCGCATTTGCCTCAGGGAGGAACAATTTTGCTGTCACGGAGGGAAGTGGATATGCTTGTGTGGGTGAGCAAATTCAACCACCAAGTCAAACACACAGCTGATGCTGTGCTATGCAACAGCCTGGCTTGCCAAGAAAATCACCCATTTTCTCCACCTTTTATGCTTCTTAGCTACAACCCATATGGAAATGGAATGGCCGTTCAGGTCTCTGAGTGCGTAGCACAGCGATCATCCCAACAGGCTTCACTGGTTTTGCAGTGCTGAAATATGCAAAGTGTGATCTCTGCTGAGTGAAACCGGCTCCTCAGGTCGCTTTGCACTGGTGCCCTGATGGAGAGGTGATTCCTGCCTATCGTTTCATTGATGCCCATCACCCAGCAGTGGTATCAGCTGCCTGGGAAGCAAAAGAGGGGGAGCTCAAGGACGTAGTATCACTCCCAGGTACTGGGGATGTCCCAGACCCATATGGCCCAAAGGCATTGCCTGCTGGGATGGGCTGTCAGGGAGATCAGGGATTCAGCAGGCCAGACCTTCTGACTGCATCCAAGTGAGGAAACCTGCTTACCACCCATCAGAGGATCTGCCAGAAGTGATCTCATGTTGCTTAGGATTAATTGGGTCCCTCCAAGGCAAATTAGCCCGTCTAAAGTATTTCCAACCAGCCCCATAGTTAATCACTCCTCATTTGTCTTGTGCCCAAAAGTGCTTCATGTTGGCTCTGATACCTGGATAACCAGCAGAACTGTCCCTGTGATACTCATGCACTCAAGAAAAAGAAATGTGTTTCTGTGGCTAAAAATAATGATCACAGGCTCCCTGAAAGGCTTGAGATGTTCCTGTTCTGTTTTCCTGGGGAGCGGGGAAGTGCGTAATAGAGACAAATACAACAAGGTGTCAGAAACAGAAATGGAGAGCTCCGACTCCCTGAAAAGAGGCAGGTACTTCTGAGGGGGGAAATAACCCACAGGAGGTAACACAGAAGCTGTGGAGACAGCGGCAGTGATTGGGGAGCCACAGAGTCTGTTGAAAGCTCTAGTAGCAGGGGTTGCCAAAATCATGTGAAGATGTAATGTACCGTTTCAATGACATGGTTTAGCTTCTGTCTCTCTGCAGATGAGAACTGAGATCACAACAACTTTCCACTTGCTTAGATGGAAAAAAGGATCCTTTACCCAGAGACAAATGAGAACAGGTGGCGGATAGGCAGGAGGCACCTCACAGCAGCTCCTATTTACCTAGGGGATGGTATCTGTCGTGCAGGTTATCCCACAGGAAGCGCCCATCCACCAAGCCTGTTAAAATCACGTGGCTGCCGTTTGGAAGACGGGTGTCCAGGTATCGCAGCGCCTGCATCACGTTGGAGAGCATCTCTTTGGGTGTAGTCATGTAAGCCAGCGTGTCGTTGTTCCTGCAGAACAGGAGGATGCCAACGGGACATCGTGTCAGGTAACCAAAAGCACCGTTTCCCTTGCTGCTCTTCCACACTATTAGCTAAAAAAGACCTTATCCAAATGATACGAAGTGTTTTAGACTTTCACTGTTACTGCCAAAATTGGAAGCGATGCAGAAACCTCCCTGGGTGTAACTCTTCTTCCTGCTGAAAACAGACAGATGTGTGCCTTTTTTATGTGTGCCCTCCTGTTGTGGGTTAACTCTGGTTGGTAGCTAAGCATCACAGAGCCACTTGCTTGCTTCTTCTCCCCCACAGTGAGATTAGGGAAGAGGAAAAAGAGAGTAAAAGCAAGAAAACTTTGGCTTTAAGATAATAAATAACTCAGTGTTATAGTTCAATAAGTGAAGAAGATACTGTTCAATAAATAGTAGAGAGAAGGCAAGCAAAAAAAGTGATGCCGAGGCAATCACTCACCACTATCTAGTCCCATTGTTAGATTAATATAACAGTTCCAGAGCAAAAGACAGTTAAGGCCCCTAAAATCCACCCCTCGTCCTTTTTATTGCTGAGCACTAGGTTACATGGACTGTCCATAATGGCCACTTCAACTTTCAGCAGGAAAAGGATCCATTGCCCTAAGGGAGTGCTGAACCTGGCTAAGAGCCTCCGTGGTTTGGCTCTGAACCTTTTCCTGGTTCTGCTGCTCCGTAGGCAGGGGTGCCCTGCTGATGGGTGAAAGGAGGGCTTTTCCTCCATGTGTGTAGCTTACATTCATTCCATTCCATTCTTTGATTATGCCAGGTAGAAATACGTAAGAGAACTTTGTTTTGCATGTACTCTTACTGTATACCTATATACTTATATACCTATATACTTATATACCTATATATACTTAGACACTATATATACTCTTACTATAGACTTATATATACTATATACTTACATACTCTTACTATACCCCCCTGCAGGATGGTGGGAGACCAGTGAAGGGTCTGGATAGACATGGAGGAGGTAAGATATTTTAGAGGAAAGAAGTATTTAAGACAAAGCAGTTCTCAGAAATGTCCATTAGGGTGTTGGAGCTGCATTAGTGCCCCCTGTGCACCACATGCCTGTGTTTTGTGCCTCACCGGCAGACTGGAATGTCTGCGAGCCAGAGTGTGAGGCTCAGATGTATCCTTCCCCTTTCTGCATCAGCAAACGGTGCAGCACGTGGGAGAACTGCATTCCCTGCAAGGATCTGGGATTGTTTGGCAGAGAATGTGTGGTGATGGAGAATGGGAATGTGAGTCTGGTTTTGTGCTGAAAGAGCTTCATGTCACCAGCAGGTGCTGCAGCACTTGATTCCCAAATACTCCAGTGATGGAATGTGTGTGCAGGAAGTAATGGCATCAGTCTGAGCTGACAGTAATGACATAGCACTTGATCTTGTCACTCAGGTGAAGTCATGCAGTAACTTCAATGCATCTGTTTGTGTTTCCTTTGTGTCCCAGGAGATGAAGTGAAGATGAATGGAGTTTGGAATCTTGGAGCTGCTTGTGTTGAAGGGCCTGGAAATCCTGCAGCAGGTCTGGAGAGGGGCAGCATTGCCTGGAGCACCATTGGCTGTGTCTTGGTTGCAGGTGTCGGTCGTTGTGTTCGTTATCGCATGTCGTTGTGTGAAGACCGAAGTGGTGACTTGGGGAGGTATTAGTGGTGGTGAGGATGGGTGGATGGAGTGCGGTGCAAGGAAAGGAAAGGAAAGGAAAGGAAAGGAAAGGAAAGGAAAGGAAAGGAAAGGAAAGGAAAGGAAAGGAAAGGAAAGGAAAGGAAAGGAAAGGAAAGGAAAGGAAAGGAAAGGAAAGGAAAGGAAAGGAAAGGAAAGGAAAGGAAAGGAAAGGAAAGGAAAGGAAAGGAAAGGAAAGGAAAGGAAAGGAAAGGAAAGGAAAGGAAAGGAAAGGAAAGGAAAGGAAAGGAAAGGAAAGGAAAGGAAAGGAAAGGAAAGGAAAGGAAAGGAAAGGAAAGGAAAGGAAAGGAAAGGAAAGGAAAGGAAAGGAAAGGAAAGGAAAGGAAAGGAAAGAAAGGAAAGGAAAGGAAAGGAAAGGAAAGGAAAGGAAAGGAAAGGAAAGGAAAGGAAAGGAAAGGAAAGGAAAGGAAAGGAAAGGAAAGGAAAGGAAAGGAAAGGAAAGGAAAGGAAAGGAAAGGAAAGGAAAGGAAAGGAAAGGAAAGGAAAGGAAAGGAAAGGAAAGGAAAGGAAAGGAAATGAAAGGAAAGGAAAGGAAAGGAAAGGAAAGGAAAGGAAAGGAAAGGAAAGGAAAGGAAAGGAAGGAAAGGAAAGGAAAGGAAAGGAAAGGAAGGAAAGGAAAGGAAAGGAAAGGAAAGGAAAGGAAAGGAAAGGAAAGGAAAGGAAAGGAAAGGAAAGGAAAGGAAAGGAAAGGAAAGGAAAGGAAAGGAAAGGAAAGGAAAGGAAAGGAAAGGAAAGGAAAGGAAAGGAAGGAAAGGAAAGGAAAGGAAAGGAAAGGAAAGGAAAGGAAAGGAAAGGAAAACTAATTAGTTAAAGTCAACTAGTTTAATGAATTAGTTTAATTAATTAATTAGTTTAAATCAAAATTAGTTAAAAAACCAGAATTAGAAAAATTAGTTTAATTAGTCAAATCAATTAGTTTAAATTAGTTTAATTAGTTTAAATTAGTTTAAGTCAAAAACCAATTAGTTTAATTAGTTTAATTAGATGAATGAAAAACTTAACTAAATGAAATGAATGAAATGAATGAAATGAGCTTAACTCAAACTAATGAAATGAAATGAAATGAAGTCAGTTATGAATGAAATGAAATGAATGAAATGAATGAAATGAATGAAATGAATGAATGATGAATGAAAAATGAAATGAAATAAAATGGAATGAAATGGAATGCAATGAAATGAGTTAAAATGAAATGAATGAAATGAATGAAATGAATGAAATGAATGAAATGAATGAAATGAAATGAAATGAGTTTAAATGAAATGAAATGAATGAAGTGAAATGAAAAATGAATGAAATGAATGAAATGAAATAATGAATGAATGATGAAAAAGTGAATGAAATGAAATGAAATGAAATGAGTTGAAATGAATGAAATGAAATGAAATGAATGAAATGAAATGAATTAAATGAATGAAATGAAATGAAATGAGATGAAATGAAATGAATGAAATGAATGAAATGAATGAAATGAATGAAATGGAATGGAATGAAATGAATGGAATGAAATGAAATGAATGAATGAAATGAAATGAATGAAATGAATGAAATGAAATGAATGAAATGAATGAAATGAAATGAAATGAATGAAATGAATGAAATGAGTTAAAATGAATGAAATGAAAGTGAAATGTTTAATGAAATGAATGAGCAATGAGTGAAAGGAAAGGAATGAAATGAAAGGAAAGGAAAGGAAAGTAAAGGAAAGGAAAGGAAATGAAAGGAAAGGAAAGGAAAGGAAAGGAAAGGAAAGGAAAGGAAAGGAAATGAAAGGAAAGGAAAGGAAAGGAAAGGAAAGGAAAGGAAAGGAAAGGAAAGGAAAGGAAAGGAAAGGAAAGGAAAGGAAAGGAAAGGAAAGGAAAGGAAAGGAAAGGAAAGGAAAGGAAAGGAAAGGAAAGGAAAGGAAAGGAAAGGAAAGGAAAGGAAAGGAAAGGAAAGGAAAGGAAAGGAAAGGAAAGGAAAGGAAAGGAAAGGAAAGGAAAGGAAAGGAAAGGAAAGGAAAGGAAAGGAAAGGAAAGGAAAGGAAAGGAAAGGAAAGGAAAGGAAAGGAAAGGAAAGGAAAGGAAAGGAAAGGAAAGGAAAGGAAAGGAAAGGAAAGGAAAGGAAAGGAAAGGAAAGGAAAGGAAAGGAAAGGAAAGGAAAGGAAAGGAAAGGAAAGGGCCCCGAACCACTCTGTAGCTGATTTCTGCCTCCTCCCTGCTGCCTCTTCCCAGGTGCAATACTTTCCAGCCTGAACTGCCTGCAGCCAATCAGAACTGCTCTTGCTAAGCCAGCCCCCTATTAAAGACTCGGCTCACACCTGGGCCCCTGTTTGCTGCAGACCTTCCCCATCCTGGAGCTGGGAGCCACTCTCTGCTGGAGCTCTGTGATTCTGAGGTACCGCACCCCCATTTCCCTTCCCTTGCCCCCAGTGAATGTGGATGTTCCTCCCTGTCCTTTTTCCTTGTGCTTCTTTTATGCTCTGTGATGCTGCTCACACGTGCAGTACCCTGTGCTGCAGGCCTGGGCTCCTTCCCGGGGCTCCTTTGGCCTCTTGTGCTTGGAAGGAAGGACTGTGCTTTCCAAAACTGCTTTTCATGCTCTGGGGAGTAACCCACAGCAGCAGGAGCTGTGACTTGCCTTTAGCAACCTGCAAGGGATAGGTTTTAAAGCTCATCTGAGCAGCACATCACAAAGGGAAACAGCAAAAGCAAGGGGAAACTCCAGGAGGAGGAGGAAGAGGGCAGCAGGGGGAGAAAGGGTTGAAGCAAGATTAAAGTACAGTAAGAGAAGAGCAGAATAAGGGCCAAAAGGGAAGGGGACAGAAGTGTAGAGGGAGAAGCAAAGTGCGGAAGGAGGAGGGTAAAAGAGAGGCCAAAGGAGGAGAAAGGGGCAGAAGAACTGCAGAAAGAAGGGGAGAAAAGTGCAGAAGGAGGAGAGCAGAAGGGCCAAAGGGGAGAAAGGGGCAGAAGAACTGCAGAAGGAGTAGGACAGAGCAAGGAGAAAGGCCACAAGCAGGAATTCCAGCCCAAACAGAAGAATGCAGCACACAGGAATAGCAAGGAAAGACAAATGCAACCACAGGAAAGTGCCAAGCAGTGGGATGTATCTGTCCAAGCTACCAGCAGCACTCCAAAGCATTCACACTGGTGATACTATGACTGTTAATCATATTTACACCCTACCCGTTGCAGACGTCATTCCCAATCGTTGCGTAGATCACGGTGGCTGGATTGTCCAACAGCTGGTTTCTGGCCAAGCTAAAAGATCAATAGGCAGCTATGTTAATGGGGAAATATGCTCTGTGTCTGTCTGAAGCACAAACCATGCTTCAATGAGATCATCTTTGGAAGCAGCCTGCTTAAATGTGTATAGGTTGGTGGGTTTGGGGGGGGGGGTTGGTGGTTTTTTTCCCCCACTATATTTTTATACATTAGTAAGCTTTATTATGTACAGATTTTCCTCACTTTTCCCTTCTGTTGCTTATGGACTTGTCTTTTCCACTGTTTCCCCCGCTGGCTTTCTATCTTTGTATTATTCAGAAGACAAATGAAGTAGTTTCATTCTGGGGCAAGGACATAAATCAATATAGGTGGGAAGCTTTTAATCAGAGATGGGAGAAGAAGACTATGTTTGCCTGACAATTAAGTTTATGTGTAGGATTGGGCTACAGATCAAATCGGGATTTGCTCTGAAGCTCAGTGTTAGGGGACAAGGATTAGTAACTATTTTTTCCATAGGAGAGAACAATAAATCCCTTAGGCTATATCAGCACCAAGCAAACTAAATTCAACCCAACCACCACACAGCCCACCATCTGAAAAGGACAGCTTCTTCCTCTTGCTATCCAGTAGCTGACTGTTCCTATCCCTATGGACACAGTAACAGTGGACTTTCCAATGTCTATATACATTGGTACTAATCAGGAGTAACACACTCTGTTTAAACAAGAAACAGCCCATACTTCAGAGCACAGTAGGCAAAGGAAGCTATGCTTTTCAGGAGGTTTGTGTATAATACATGCCTTACAGGGTTCTGCTTGTTTCCTTTAAAGACTCCAGCAACCATTCTGTCCCCACAGCCAGCATTTGCATCCCATTAAACACTCACCTCTTTATTAAGTGGAGGAGATTTCCTGAAGAGCCACCTGAATAAGATGAGTAGCACAACACTGTTACAGTGACCAACAGAATGAAGTGCAAGCCACAGTGTCTTTGTATAGTTCACAGAATATATCATAGAATATATATATATACATAGACCTTAGAGCTCCTCCAGTCCCACCCCCCTGCCACAGTGTCTCACCACCACCATTTCTAATGTTAGAAGCATTAAAAATGAAACAAAAAGTCATCCCTGTAACTCTTTTGGGTGTAAAGCTATATCCAGAGACCCGAGTGACTCCCACACTTCAGACTGTAGAAAAGCAAACACTTTCAAGCCCTGGGTTGTTTAGATCTGGTTTTAATCCAGACCTGGCAGCGTTTTTCCATCTGTTGAACGTAGTAGTCTCTTGTAAACCAGCCAACCTGACTTGTTAACAGTCGATCTACTTTTAACTTTCCCTATAAATTGGAAAGGGAGCTCTTCCCACTCTTCTGAGAGAATAAGCATCTCACAGCTATACCAGGTTTGCATTGATTCAGTTCCTAAACATAGGCACCAAGTGGCATTTTGGACATCCCGGAGTATCCAAGACACCTGCAGTGGGGCTGGCAGATAGAATACAGGATGCCTGAGTGATTGTGCACTTACTTCTGCAGAGGCACCTGGAGGTGAGAAAGATACCACAAAGCATCTTCAATAGCACCAGGCACCAGCATTGGGGTGTCTGCATTCGTCTCCCCATGAGTGGCAGACTTAGGAAAAATAGGATTAGGCCAGCAGCACCCCTCCTGAGGAGCTCTGCAGTTTGATGGCAATTCACCAAAACGAATGCAAACCTTCCCTCCCCTAGGAAAAGAGCTAGCTACACATAAGCGTCTCTGAGCATCTGTACTCCTTCATTTATATCTTAAATGAGAAAAGCATTCCCAATTAGGAAAACTTTCATGCATAGAACTTACTAGCAGGTCTTTAAAGGCCATGCATATGCATCCCAACTATCCACAGCACACAGGTCCAACTCCATCACCTGCCACGCCAGTGATAGCAAACAGACAGAAAAGGCTTTATACTTTGTTCAGGATTAGACTAGGACTGTGATTGCAAGAAGCTCGCCTCACATCAGTGTACAGAAGCATCAGCTTCAGAGAAGTAGGCCCTACAGCTTGTGCTTCCTTTTATTTTGCAGTCTTTTCACTGCTCTTTTCTCTCTCCTTCTCCTCTTGTATTACACTCCCTTTATTCTTCATTCAGCTCTTGCCTGGTCTCTCTCTTCTCCTCTTTTCTACATTGCACCTCTGAAGTGTGCTTTGAGAAGCAAATCCTGTCCTCCCCACAGTTCCTGGGTGGGACGCTCGGGGACAGAACATCATTAAATCCCTGCTGGATTGGTATAGGGGAAAGATCTGAGACCAACTCCGAAGGCAGCAATAATACACTTTGCATTTTAATAGCGGCGCCTTTGTTATTATCGCTCACGGTGATGCCAACCGCATATATCAAGAAATCCTTTATGGTTTAAATAATCCAGTTCTTCCAAGCTACAATGAATCCAGCTCTCTGTCTGCTGCCTCTCTCCAAGGGCTGCTGCTCCATTCAAAACTCAGCCCTTCTGTCAAGAAGCTCTTTTCAGCAGAATAAGAGCACCACAAACCCGTTAGAAAATATGGCTTGGAACATGACTCCCACCGGCTGACTTTTTGCTTCTGTTTAATAGCCCTTCTTTCAGCTGTGTTCAGCAACCCTCTGTTAAGCCACTCAGCTGCAAAGCTCCCCAGGCTGGGGCTGCGGTTCCAGCACAAATAAACTAGGGGGATCTTTAGGAATCAAGAAATATAGTTACAAAACGAGCGAGAAGCTGTTCTTGGGCGTGCATTACCTCTGCAAGTGAGGGGAGTTACAGGCAGCTCTCTGGGAAGCATTAGCAGTTACAAATCAAGTAAAAACATCAAGAAAATGAACGGCTTCTTTAATAGAAAACTGTTTTCATAGGTAAACTGAGCCATCAATGACGTTCTTGTGATGCAGGATGTGATATGCGATGAAGATATTTGAGAGAGAAAAAGGGATGAGGCAGAGCAGTTACCCTTGACCATTGGATGTCCCGGCAGCCACTCCTGTGTCTCTCCTGCCCCTTTCTCTGTGGTTTTCCAAGTGTTTTCAGTGGGTTTTTGGGTCTTGGTTCAGGAGTCGGAGCTGGGTTTGCTTCTGCTTGTAAGAAACCCTGAATCTCATAAACCCCGCTCATGCCTGAGCTGCGCTTGGTTTTCTTGCTCTTAGACCTTGTGTGACTGACATGCACTGGAGGAGTCTGGGTCCAGATAGCACCAAACGTGCTGTGTGGATAAGAATGGCTCATTGCCTTCTTCTGCTCCCTCATTCTCTAAAAGCAATTGGAAATGCAACAGTGCACAGAAAGAAGTGTCTGGTTTTCCCCAGATGAAAAGTCCTCCAGGTGGACTAGAATTCCCAAGGCAGACAAAGAAAAATACTCAAAATTAGGTTTTTCTATCCTGGTTTGAAGCCAGTGTGAGATATTTGGTGCTTGATGGCAGAGTGAGCCACAGCATGTGTTAGCAAGGCCTAATTTGTCTGATCAAAGGCAAGATCAGACTACAAATGGCAAAGGAATGCACACTACCTGTGTTTTGCAATAGCACACGTTATCCAAGCATCTCATGCAAAACATGGATGACAACTCCCAGACTGATCTGTAATTACTTAGGAATTCTGAGGACATTCTAGTGATCCTTTGCAATACTTTAGCAACTGATTTTACTCTCAGGATGCTCCTAACATTACAAGGGATCTTCAGCAAGTGCTGGAGAACATTTGTAAGAGCATTCCAACCCCACAATTGAGCATTCATGCCCAGCCCTCACAGTCAAAGGCAGAAAATAGCCCATGACCTTCAACCCTGTGAGAAGCTGCTGGCAGGAAAGACACCAAAACCATATTTAAAAGAGTCACCCAGTAAAAATTATCCTGAGAAATCTGTTCAGCAAAGCTCTTCAATGGAAAACACTGCTTAAGACTGGGAGCTGCTTGTGCAAGCACAAGCTGAAAGCAGTAATGATGGTATAGAAGAGGCTTGTTATGAATGAATAACCTCTGTCAGTTGTCCCAGGTGGGGCTAGGTCAGGTTGGCAGCCAGCTTTCTGAGGTACTGACACTGAGAGTGACCATTTAAAGCCACCCTTTCAGGGAAACCCTTACACCAAATGAGGCAATAAAAGCCAACCTCTCTCATGAGATGTTGGCACAATAGGAGAAGATACCCAGGGAAGATATCCTGGGATTTTCCATCACTTGTAATTCTTCCCTTTTCTTAAATTCCCATCTCAATTTTCTTTGAAGCCTTTTGCCCTGGCCCAGGCTCACCTCCTTTCACACCCTGCAGGCGGCTGTAGTGTAGGTGGAAGGGGTATGCATGGAGACAAAAAGGAGCCATGCACGCAGTAAGTGATATTTTCTTTTAAGTCTATGAAGGAATGGGGAAAAAGGAAGATCAGAAAGTACAACCCTCCTTAATGTAAAGAGAACAGAACAAGGTAATAGGGTATCAGATACTGAGATGAACGGGATATAAATGAGGAGAACCACTGACTCCTGGTCATCCACTGACCACCTAGTTTGGCCTTTCTATTATTCTTTCCCCAGAAAGCACATCTGGGGGACTGAGCTACTGGGAGCCACCAACTCCAGTGCCCTGTGACTTAGTAAGTCAGATGAGAAAGTCAGAGGTGTCTGAGCCGTGACACCAAACATTGAAAAACACATGTGCAAAACCTGAAGCCTCGGGAGCACCACGTGTGCCACAGGAATCATAGACGCATAGAAAACTTTGGGTTGGAAGGGGCCTTCAAAGGTTATCTAGTCCAACCCCCCTGCAGGGAGGAGGGACCTCTTCAAGTAGATCAGGAAGGAGAAAGGTGTACAAGAGGCATTAGTGCTGGCACCAGAAGTCATTTTTCCACATGAAAATGCCCACCTAAGCCTGGAAATGATCCTTGCATCACACTTCTTGTCTGTGCAACCTCCTCTGCCTGGTAGCATCTCTGTCTGTTGGAGGTGGGAGGCCGGGGCAGACCTTTCCTGACCCTGCATCTCATGAGAAATGCCGAGCATTTAACACGTTTCCGAGCAGCACCAGGGGCTGCAGTGCTCCTCACTTGCAGCCAACACGGCTCATCTTTTGGAGAGGAAGAGCATCCCATAAACCCTAATTATCTCCCCAAGGAGAATAAATTTTCTGAGGTTCTGCAGCCAGTTTTCTGAAGCATGAAAATTAATTAAATGCAATAGAAACACAATGTGACAATCACAGAATAATCAAGTGTCTTTTAAACCTGATGTTGGGGACATCATCTAATCCAAGACACAAAAGCTAACATCATAAACCTTAATTTCCAAGGGAGATTAATGTCATCCTTTCAGACAACCCTTTTGAGAAATTTAATCCGTATCTGTCTTGAAACAACTCAGGGTTTCTTTTTTGCTCCCACTCCTGCATTCTGAAGGCTATTCTAGGTCTACACTCCTTGATAGTAACATTTCTTATTAAATTTCCCTTCCAGACAGAGGTAGGATTAATGAAAACCCATGTTCTTGTACCAGCGCTATCCTTCAGCTTTAATCATTCTTCCCATTCTGGTGTTTATGCCTTGAAAAGATTCAAAGCTGAAATCCCTTTTAGTTTTTGCCTTGCCAAGGCGTCTTAACATCCCCTTGGAAGTCTCCGTTGCCCTAATCTTCCCCAAAGCCCTTCTTTGCGTCCTCACCAAAGTCATTCCTCCCTAGGCAAATTCTGAGGTCTTATCTGTGGCCAATGTGAGGAAGGACTGTCTCCTTGTCTCTAGAGAAATTATGTGTGTGATGCACCTTGCAACCTCCGTAGTCTCTTCACAGCTCTATCCTGCACTCCAGGGCCTCTCCCCTCCACCACCTGAAGAGCCACTAAGTTTACAGCCAAGAGTCTTGTCATTAGCTCTGCCATGCAAGTCCTGCACAGCTGTACTTGCCTCAATTGCTGTCACTGCTGTTCCCAAGCTCATCCGAATTATTCCTGTGTAAGGATGTGGCCCACTTTGGGCTGGTTCATATTTTGCATCACTCACAGATGCCATCAGGCATGCACATTCGTCTTTGCTCCAAGGTCACCACTCCAAATGTTAATCATTGTTAGCCTCACGAGAGATGTGTGAGGGATGCAGCTCCTCTCCCAAACCCATTACTTTTCCCTCCTTAGCTGTCCTCTCCCTGTCTCTTATTTCTTGAATTAATCTTCCTCTTTTGTCCCAGTTCTAATTTAGCTTTGTGTCCTCCTTTATAATCTGTTCTAAGAGCCCATCAAGATGCCTGCAACATTGACCACCAGTTTTGCAAGAGGACTTCTGTTTGCTGGCCTCCAGCTCCAAAGGATGTCACAGGGCATCACGGACACCCTTGCTATGAGACATGCTGCACCTCTGCTATTGATATCCCTCTAAATCCGCCCTTATGGCCAAAAAAACTCATAGAGTTACAGTGGGGTACACTGGTTTTTAGTCCAGTGGAATTTCTCACTTGGTGCATGGATAGAAGTGATCAAGCCGCACACCTCCCTACTCAGAGCCAGGAGCAAAGATGCTGAGTTAAATAAGCGCTGTTCTCTATTTTCCCATCAGAAAGCTATGCCGTTAGGAAGGAGTTTCTCTTTGATTCTGAAAGAAAGATGTTCATTAACACATCATCAAGCATCAGACATGGAGGATTTTCTGTAAAAGAGTGAAAAAACCATACCATTTTTGGAGATGTTCTGTAGGTCTCTGTGATTACAGCGGTTCCTGTTCCGTAAGCGTAGATACAGAGAGTCTGTCCAGCCTCTGAAAGGAAGCAAGGAAGTGCAAGCTGTTAAACTCACCTGATACTTGTTAAAATACCCCCGAGGTTAAAAACGAAGCATGTTCTCATCTCTGAACAGCTCTGTGCCCCAGTTATGTATATACTTCTGTTTCACCATCTCTCTCTTTTGGGGTCATAAATCTTTTAGATCTTGAACAGGGTGGCCTAAAATGGAAGCCGAGACATCCTCTCCAAAGCTGTAAATTGATGGGGAGCTTCTTTGAAAATGTTCCATCCAGGCTGCTTTTATCCTGGTCTTTCAAATGAGGATTTAAAAAACCCTTTTGTCATACATCATTTATCAAAACAATTCTGTTGATTGCTCACTAATTGACTTTTCTGTTGCTTGTTATGGAACAGTAAATAAAAGAGAAGAAATATTGGCAGGGCATTCACTTCCCAAAGCCATAAGTCTTGGATGGATTGATCTGAAAACAGGTTATGCTTGATTGTGATTACTTCTCTCCTTCTCTTTGCACTGTTGAGAAGATGAAAATGCAAATGCGAAGGATAACAGCACAAAAGGAAGCTGAGGAGAAGCTGGTTATTTATATCTGGGCTGCTGCCTTTCTGTTTGAACTTAGACACCAAAGGAATCAAATGGCTTAAGAACAGCAAACTTGGATGAATGCAGAGAAGCAGGAGACAACAGTAAGTTCTGAAGCCAGCAGTAAAAAGTAACTATTTACATAGAAACGCATGATAACATCAACCAGTCTCCATGTAATGGGCTACACAAGAAACACCCAAGCTCTTTGGGTTCTCAGCACAGCAGGCAGGCAAATGAGGAGAAGCAAACAGACCTTCTCAGTCGGAGGATATTAGTTAAAAAGCAGTGTCCCTCTTCATGCATCACGGGCATGGACCACATCAGTTTGTGTCCCTATTTCTGCAGGCTCCCACCGCACATTGCCAACCGGTCTCCACCACACTCGGTCGCTGTGAGGTGGGATTGTGAGCTACTTGTCTTAGAAATGCCTCACTGTCCCAAACAGTCCTCCTTTTTCTTCTTCCAAATGCGGAAGAGATTAAGAAAGAGACTAACACTGACCCAAGGCCTATCGCTGACAGCTTCAGGGTCAACACTAAGCTCTGATCACTTGTGAACCACTTCAGATTCTTTGGAGCCCAGTTACATACTGTGTATTGAGTAGCTGGACGTTGACATTGTGGTAGGCATTTAACAGTTGTTTTTGCTGCTGACTCTGAAAGGGGAGGCTGCACAGCTCTTCTCTATTGGCTTGCCAAGTAGTATGCCACCTTAAAGCACACACTGTGAATGCAGCTGAGGCTGGGAACCTGGTTTTTGCACAGGGAGAAAAGAAAGCAAGCAGCAAGTACAAGTGTGTGGTGCAACAGATCTGGTTCCTCGAAAAGAATATACTTGCCAACTTTTTAATCTGTTGGTAGGGAGCCTCTTTAGGCCTGACTCATGCTTGCTTTGGCATTTCACTGTGTTGGTGACCCATCGCAGACATCGCAAATAACAATCATCTGCAACTCCACGGCAGAGCAGGCGCTGTTGGTGATGATAGCCACCAGCTCTGGCAGGAGCCAAAAGCCTCTTAATGCTGGCCAGAAAGCTGATTAACAGAATCACAAGTATTTCTTTTGAACTCCACAATTAATCCTGCAGGCATTTCAAAGCATCTGCTTTGCATTTGGACTCCATCCTCACTGCTTTCTGGCAGAGGCTTCTGTCTTCCCATCTAGTCCTGCTCCTTTCCCCATCCTCATGAGCCAACGTACCACAGCAAATAGGCCACAGGCACTTCCAAACTCTTCTTTTGCTATTTCCCTCTAAGGAGGGGGGGGAACAACAACAAAGTGGAAGAAAGATTGCCCCCAAAAAGGGAATACTGTGAAATAATGCTGGGGTTGGTTGTTCCACTGTTCCAGCAGCAAAAAGAAACAGGAGGAAGAGGAAACCAGGGGGGTGGAGGGAAAAACAAGGAAAGGAAAATGCTGATTTTTGTTGTTTTCTGCAATGCCCCCTTCTGCCTGCCCTCGAGTTCTGAAAACAGGGAGCTTAGGTTTTATTCCTTCGGGTTTTTAGCTCCTTCTAAGCTACAATTTGAGCAGCTCTAAAACCTACCCTGAAATTCAGGAAGACCAGGCCAGAGCACTGTGCATTGTCTATATATTCAACAGGTTTTTCCAAAGCCCTACATCCAGTGTTGATTTGAGAGTGAGCACAAGCAGAGCTGATGTGCATTTTTACCTTGCCTTTCAAGCACTCTTCTTTCTTTTCCTTGCTGTGCTTTAAGGGGCCTTAAGACTTGCTATGACTTGGCCATGCTGCCTGTTGGCTTACCCGATGGTGGAGTTCAGAAATCCAGTGATCTCTGAGAACTGGGGCCAGTCAAGCTCGTTGGTGAAAGCCACTGGGAGATTGGCAAACGATTTCTGAAAGAGAAATTCTTAAATCAATGCGGTTTCACCCTCAAAAAATCCTTCCAGCAAACTCAAGCGCTTGGCTGCAGCATCACTGGACAGCAGCAGTGGCAACTACAGCTTATCATAGAATGGTTTGTGTTGGAAGGGACCTTAAAGCTCATCCAGTTCCAAACCTCTGCCACTGCTCCAACACCTTCTACTAGACCAGGCTGCTCCAAGCCCCATCCACACTGCCAGGGATGGGGCAGCCACAGCATCTCTGGGCACCCCGTGCCAGCGCCTCAGCACCCTCATGTGCATATACTTAAAAAGCTGACTCTTGTAAGACAGGCAAATCAGCAGAGAGAGGACGGAAAAGCAGGAGAGAGATCTGAATTGTATCTCCTGGCACCCTTTCGTTTTGGAGAGCCCAATACACCTCCTGACATGGAGCACGTACTGCACTGCAGACCCCCACAGCTGCCTGCTTCAGCGTCCTCCCTGTCCAAAGGTAGGTTCCTTGAGCACAGGAAGAGATGACAGTGTGAGGTTCCAAGGTATATGGCAAAGAGATGATAACATAATGCTCCATCCCTGGCAGTGTTCACGGCCAGGTTGGACGAGGCCTTGGGTGATATGATTTAGTGTAGGGTGTCCCTGCCCACGGCAGGGGGTTGGAACTGGATGATCTTAAGGTCCTTTCCAACCCTAACAATTCCATGATTCTATGATAACATAAAATTTACTCCAGGCTCCTTTGCCCTCTCCATCAGAATGAACCCCTTAAAAACCCTTAAAAACCTCTGCCCCATCCTCACTGCAGATTTCGGGCACTGAAGCAACAGTCAGAAAGGCCTCTGAGCACAGCAGGGAGCAGGGAGAAAGACCCATGGTCTGCCTCAGCCTTCCCACACAAACAGATACAACCTTCACCCTTCTCTGCTTTTGCTGGTATTAGTCCCCGTTTTTAAGTGCCTGGCTCTGGCAAAGCTTCCCTGCAGATGTAAGCTGTGCTGCACATTCAAAGCACAGGGCCCTGCTCATTTCCACTTTGATCTCTGAATGTGTCCAAAATCATGAAAGGTGAGAGAAACGGCCTCAGGAATGGCACCATCGCAGAGAGATGAGGACATGGAGGTAATTTTCAGCTTCTCCTGGTCCGGGGTACACTTGCAAAGACAAAAGCATAAATCCAGCATGCTCATACTGAGAAACTGCTGATGAAAAAGGTAATAACCCAAAGAAGGTCAAAACATGAAATCAGAGAACGTACAGGCTGGTTTAAGCCATGGAATTCATTAGCTTCATTTCCTGTTGAAGCAATTGTGGGGTTTCCTGAAACCATCGCTGCAGGTTGGGTGATTGTTTCTCCAGGAGGGTCAGAGGTTGCTCAGGAGCCAAAGAAGAGCTAAATTCTGTGGTTGCCAACAAGTCCTCATTCCCAAAATCATCATGTAGAGGAATGGGAGCTATGCTTGAGCACATGCCTATGGGGGTTGACAGTAAGAGGACAGGGTGAGATGCATGGAAAGGGGAGGAGAGGTGAGAAAAGGGGGGTTGTGAGGGGGAAGAAATCCTGAAGCCAAGCTCTGAGCAGCCTAATGCACAGCAGATGCCAGTTTAAAGCATGTAACAGCATATTTGACCTACTTACAGTAGATCTGCATTAGTTACCAAGGTGAAAATGGGTCTGGCTTAATTATCTTTCTGTTGCTTTCCTCTCTCTCTTGTCCTTGCATGTATCTCTACATACATACATACATAACATATATATATATACATAAAGTAATCATTTTGTAAAGACTGGAGGGAACTTCCAAATCTGCCATCATGTGTGATAGTTTTGTGTGCAAAACAAGCACTTAACCCAAGGGCACAGCTCACAGCTATGAGTGGAAGTGGAGGGGGACAAGATTTCTTGGCCATTTGCAATGTTCGTCTCTTCTTAGCTTTAAAGGTGACAGGAATATTGACAGGGTCACTTAGTATAAAGCTATAGATATGATCTTTCATAAGTCACAACACAGAAGAGTATAAAAAGAACCCAATAATGAAATATTTTTAAAACAAGTTCTTCTAAGACCAACTTCCTTGTATTTTCTACTCCAAACCAATATTTTCATTGGACAAGTCCCAGTCATTTTTTTACATTTTCTTCTTTTTTTCCTGCAAACCTAGCTTAAATATGAATTCAGTTTAAGCCAGAACCTGATTAAGTTGCAAATTGGTTTGGAAAGGAACATTTAAGAGCAGAATTATAGTTACATTTGAACACTGTATATATGTTCAGCATTGACACTGTTCCAGCAACGCACTTAAAGCCGACTTTGGAAGGTATTTCAGGACCGAAGGGTGAGGATGAGTAGTTAGTGGAACTTTGAGGAGGATGCTAGAGCTTGAACTCTGCAGTGATGTAGTTTGGAAAGCGTGGTCTAACAGACTGCATTTTGCTTAGCCTTACATACAAATATGTCCCACTCTAAAGGTGGATCTGTACTGACTTTTAGCTTAAGACTCTCGTACAGCCTTGTTTAAATACCATTCTCTAGACTATTCTGGCTGAGAAACCATGCTTCAGCCTACGTGCCAGATTTTAGCAGAGAATGATTAGAAACTTACTCCAGCCTAGCTTCAAATGCCATATTTTAGCCTCAGTTGCTCTAGATGGGTCTCCCTTTGAAGGAACATCCTCACCTCCTGGATGTGTCCTACCTTGAAGTACAGGGCAGCCAAAGCCATGGCTGATGCTAAATGCATGCATGCCAAGCTGGGCTTATATGGAAGAAGGTTCAGGGTTCCTATGGCAAGAGATCTTCGAAATCAGAACACAAAAGGGCATTGGGAACCTGATGCTCCTATGAGAAATGCCAGTCCCAGCAGTCCTGAAAGTGCAGAAGTATCCCTTAATTTGAAGGGGAATTGGGTATTGTTTTTTATACTGACTTGAATGCTGTTCCAGTTCTTGTGGTAGCGTTAAGTACCGCAGACAACTTTCTTATTCTAAGCATATGAATAAGCAAGCCTTAGAGCTCTTGAGGAAAGCACAGCCTATCTTTCTAAAAAGCATTATTCCCTTATTCTCCCCGAAACGCAGGATCTTACTCATCACAGTATTAGCTGCGAGGGACTTGCCTGTGATTCACTGGATTTAGAGGGAAGCTAGGGGATGGTTTTAATGAGATTTCCACAGATCAAACTCCTGACTTTTACAGTGGGGCAAAACCCCCAAAGGATTACACTATTTTGCACCACCTGGGATAAGTGTTCTGGACATCCTGAACCCACATTTACAGTAAAGCTGCATTCTTTTGCTAGGAAATATGTAGTATGAACCAGGTACTTTAATGAAACCTGAGAACACCTTGAGTTTGTGGGCAAATAGGTATTTACTGCATTACAGATAGACATGGCTTTATTTTTCTCTTTATTCAGCATGAAATAGAGAGCCAAGGTTTTTAAAACGCATCTTCCTAGAGAGGGTATCATTTCCACACATACAATGCTTTTATCTCAAGATAAATGTCTCTAAAATGAGATTTAAAAGCAAACTTCTATCCCAGACAAAATGCTACGTTTAGTAGCTATTTGGAAGTCAGTGGTAAGCAGATGGACAGAGCAGCAGGAGCACAATATCCATCACTACACACCGGTGTTTTCAACATTACCATTCCAAAACCACCAACCACCTCAAAAGAACACCCTAACCAGTATTTCTTCTGCTTTGCTAAACCTCATAAAGTGCATGTCTACTGCATTTTTAATGTTGGAATTTTCAGGTCAGAGGAATGAATGTTCAGCTCAGTTCTTGCTGAGCCTTTTAAAAGAGGGAAAGCCTGGCAAACCCAAAACCTAGTGATAAGCAAGGAGCCAAAATAAAGTTGGCTTACTCCATTCTTAGAGCTGTAAAATTGTTTCCCTGTAATTATACTCTGGGTGTTTGGGGATTTACTGGGGTGATGGCAAGTTAATGATGGAGCCACGTGCTCTGCAGGAACATGCAAGTCCCCCCCTTCCAACACTGCCTACGTGATATGAATGCAGGAACATGATTCAGGCCTTTGCATTTGGTCACTTAGGTGCAAGAGAACAGGAAGATCAGGAAGGCTCATGGGGACTTGATATGGGACAAGTAAATGATGCAACTCGATGCATTTCTTGACATAGGACATGCAACAAAAGCATATCCATTTGCACTGGATTACGCAGGGGGTTATGACTGTGAGAGGCCAATGCCAAGACAGTAGTAAGTTCCCAATTAGACTGGGAAATTAACATGTATAGGACAAATACAAATAATTTATATATATGAAATACAGAAATTATATAGGTAAAAAATAGACAAAAATGAAGTAATGAAATAATACACTCACTAAATGTGAATTAACAGGCACACAACTATTTTCTTATACACATGATAAAAGTCCTAAGGGCAGGGAGAGAAGTCCTATTTGGAATTCCACGTTGAGGGCTGAGATTCAATTGAAATGGAAATTAAAGCTTTGAACTGACGCTAGCATTGACTGTAGAGAAAACCATTTGATAAACTAATTTTTCTATGTGTCTTATCAAAGAAATTTTGGCACATTCAAAGCAAAGTGTCTTGAGTTGGACAGCATGGGGGAACAGCGGATACACAGGGATAATAATGCCTTTTCCTCCCCTTTCAGAGCCCTAACTTCAAATTCCTGCTGTGGTCCCAGATTAAGGATGTTTTCTATGAGATCAGGACATAGTCTCTGCACTCTCTCTGGTCACAAAACCATCCTTGGATGTGCTTCACAAGCCCAAGGCAGCTGAATTGCTGCTATTGCCATTCTATGCACAGAAAGCAAGACAGAGGACCAGCAAGAGGCAGAGGCAGTGACAAAGTCTGAATTAGCTCAGAATTTTTTTTGCTAGCTCTTTTGTGCTCAGGCAATTACTTTCTTAATTAAGGTGAGCTGCAAATTAAGTAATTTCTTACTATTGCTAGACTTTGAGCACAGACAATGAGGTTTTATATGACTGAACTCGCTGTGTCTCTGCATTAATATTTAACTGTTGTATTTTCGCCAGGTTGGTAGGAAAGATCACAAATAGTCCTAGAAAAGAGCCAGAGAGGGAACACATCTCTCTTTGCCCTCCTTGCCCCCCTGCAGAGCACTGGCTCCAATGTGGGGTCACCCTTTCTGCAAAGGAAAGCAGCCCGCTTCCTTTCCAACCAGTCCTTGATCTTCTTCACATGCTGGTCAGACTGAACTGAGCACTGAAAACATGTATTTGTTGGGTCTCAGAGAGCACCCATTTCCTTCCTGTTAAAGTTGCTCTACACCCATCAGACAGAAATGAGGTGGCATCAAAACTCACTTGATAACCTGCACTCTTGATCCTGACCTTGAAGCTTCTGCTTCTGTATGCCATTACCAGTCCTCAACCCATCCAGCTAGCAGACCAGCAAGCTTCAAGCAAGAGAAATGCTATTTAATCCTTCATTAGAGACATAATAAAATGCTGACATAGTCTAAGTCTATTCTTGCCTCCATGGCTCTGCTACCGGCATTACTGCCAGGATCATCATCACCATTGGCCTTATTAGCATCTTTATTAGACAAGATAATCTCAATTATCATTACTGCTAATTTATTATGCTTACCATCAGCTCTGCCATCAGTGTCAGTCGTCTAATTGTGCTCATAAACGTTTAACAAAGGAAAACAACTTCTAATCTGCAACATTTACATCAGCTCAGCTCTGGGAGCCAAAGTGGGAAAATGCATGGAACTCTCAGACCTCCGTCAGCTCTGTGACTACTGACACTATGGAATAGGTGTTGTTCTCCAGAAAACACCCATGTCCTCCTCCTATAGAGGCCAGTGGGCAAGCAGGAGGTTTTCACCAGGGATGGTGGGTAGTGACGATCTATCTGCTCACCCCCATGCAACAGAGAGAAGGACAAACACAATTCCTGGCTAGGGACTGGCACTGTTTAGGAGCAGGATAGGAAACAACAGTGCAGGGCAGGAGCATACCTGCGTGTTTTCTGTCTCCACCCAGCTGCAGTTTGCTGGAATCATCTTTTCCCCTCAATTGTGTCATTCCACACCAGTGAACTGCAGCAGCTGAGGCTCAACCTAATTCACAGTCAGGTGCATTTTGTGGCTTGAAAATGGGAAACGCTGGGATACTGCCCAGAGGTAGACATCAGTGTGGCAGTTATATTTCAGCCACTACGGAAACCCTTTCCTACAGGACAAGTCCATTGGATGACCCTCAAACACCTGCAGATGTATTTGTTCAATGAGCCTCAGAACACTGGAGTTACCAGAACTGTTTCATGTATACCACAGATGAGGGAAAGCAATCCAGGATTTATCATTTCAAAGCCAGATGCCTAAAACAGAAGATCCCAGACTGTCAGCAGGGTCACTTCTACACCACTTGCACAGCAAGGAGCCATACCAACGAGCCTACTAATGGCAGGCCTGATCCCACAGGCAGCACGGGTCTCCTTGAGCCCTGTGTGGGAAGCCAGATGCCCTGGTTTGTGTCCCTGGCACAGCACAAGGCCACTGAAGCCAAACTCTTCCCTGACCCAATTGCACAGATGTCGGATGAGAGGGGCAGCACAGCCTTTTGATTTTCAGAAGAGCATCCGTGGGAGGGGAATGACAAATGTGAGGCCATAACTGTAAAACCCAGTGCAGTAACTGGAAATGTATAAGTTATAAATTAATAATTTATACATGATAAATAAATTCAGATTTATAAAACGATTTTGCACTTGTTTCCCTTTGGCATGGTGGTTTATGGCAACCCGAACGCAATTCCTCACCACTGACATCTGTGAGACGGTCATCCACTCTGGAGGGATGTGGAAGTGAGCGCCAGCTGAGTCTCCCAACAGCACGACCCCTTGTGAATCCGCACCTAGAGAATGCATTCTGTTAGCTGCATGAGCAGAAAGAGCAAACCAGAACAGCACGGACAGCAATGCTTGAAGAGTAACTGCAGCGTTGGCTGGTGGAGTCATGAGGACACCGGCTACATCACTCTCAATGGGGCTGAACTGTTCAGACCCTGCAATGGGATTTTTGCTGTTCACTAAAAACCTGTTAACAGACACGTGCCAACAACCCCAGGGACACAACTGGGCATGAAAACCAGGGAGAGGTCCTGCTAATCACTAAATGTAGGGATGTTGTAATGCAGGGATGGATGTGTTACTTCATCAGAGGCTCTGCTCTGCAGCCAACGTTTAGTTTTGCTACCCACAGAATATGCTTCATAAAGGACTTAAACATTGAGGAAAATCAGATTACTCAGGGACTTTCTCAAAGCTCTTTATACAGAGCCGGGTGCTGGATTGGTGGATGCGCTACTCACTCATACGAGTGTTTCTGCTAGAACAGTCTGGCTGGTTTCTAATTAACGTCACTTTAGCAGTTGTAGATTGCCTTTCAACCACAAATGTTTTAAAGTCTTGCTCAGGCAATGGTTCAGCCCCAGGATGCTGATTCAAATGTAAGGCAAGGTGAGCGTAGCTCAGCTGGCTCCCAACACAGAATTACCAACAGCCTTTGCTTTCCACATTCCATCTTTGTTCATCCTCAAGAGAAAAATAAAATTCAATCTTTTGCCATTCTGCCTTTCTCAGGAAGTTGCAAAGCCCAAAGTCTTTCCCCTACGTTGGCAATGACTGAAAACATACTAAAGGCACATTGGTTTTCATGCTGACTGTAAAGACTTACCTTTGCAGAACTTCTCCTCATAGGGAATTCCATCTTTTGGATCCACGCCCTGTTGGAGGAGAGAAGGGGCAGATGATGATGGCATCCATCTAGCTCCTGAAAAATGCAGTGCAAAACAGAGGTGGGAGATTTTGTCCTTGGATGTTTGTCTTGACAGGCTCGAGAGGTGTGAACCACATGAGCTTCAGCAAGGCCAAGTGCAAGGTCCTGCACCAGGGTCGGGGCAATTCCAAAGCACAAATAGGAGCTGGGTGGAAAACAGATTGAGAGGAGCCCCTGCTCTTGTGAGACCCCACCTAGAGAACAGCACCCAGCATAAGGACAACATGGATCTGTCAGAGTGAGTCCAGAGGAGGCCATGGGGATGCTGTGACGGCTGGAGCAGCTCTGCTCTGGAGCCAGGCTGAGAGAGCTGGGCTGGGGCAGCCTGGAGAAGAGAAGGCTCCTGAAGAGGAGACCTGAGAGCAGCTCCAGTGCCTGAAGGGGCTGCAGGAAAGCTGGAGAGGGGCTTTGGACAAGGGCCTGTAGGGACAGGCCAAGGGGAATGGCTTTAACCTGCCCGAGGGGAGACTGAGATGAGCTCTTAGGCAGAAGCTCTTCCCTGTGAGGGTGCTGAGGCGCTGGCACAGGGTGCCCACAGAAGCTGTGGCTGCCCCATCCCTGGCAGTGTTCAAGGGCAGGTTGGACACAGGGGCTTGGAGCAAGCTGCTCCAGTGGAAGGGGTCCCTGCGCGTGGCAGGGGTTGGAGCTGGAGGAGCTTTAAGGTCCCTTCCAACCCAAACCAGGCTGGGATATGATTCTATGATATAAATTAATTATAATAGCTATAATTGTAAACAATCATAAGCATCAATAAATAAATTTCACTCAAAATTACTTCCCCCCTGTTTCCTTAGTTCTTAATAAATATAGTTGTATTACTTGGAATGTCAAAGACAGTAAATAAATAGCAGTAATCCAAATCAGTTCATAAACCAGAATAAAGAAAAATCAATACCTGAAGACTAATCCAAAAGGAGGAAAAAAGAGAAGCAGCAATCAGGAAGGAAACATAAGATGCACTATCATTTACTTACCCATATGCCATTGCAGTTAGAGTCCCTTTCCTCATCCCAGTTATCAGGACTAAAACAAAAGGATATACAGCATTACAGAAAATAAAGCAAAAGGAGCTCTTGAGGGAATCGGATGCTTTGTGCCATTTGTCACTATGAATATATAATAACTAGAAATTCCTTTCTGCACAGAAGGTCTTTTATTTCCCCACTTTGAATCCCGGGCAGGCAATTTTTCCTAGCAAAATGCAATATTGATTTAAAGTTAGCACTGGAAGTTGTTGAATGGAACTTACCCTTTTAGTCTGCATATTCACTCAGGCGAAGGGAATGGGGTGATCTTTGCAGGAGACTGATCCTTCTTCCTTGCCCTTTCCCTAGCTTTTAAGTGTTCCCTGAAATCCACCAGGCCCCTCACTCAGAGCAGGGTAGTGAGGATTTGCTCTCCCCATTGGTCTGTCTGACCAACTTTGGTCTCAGATGCTTCAGAGAAAGGAAAGAACCCTGTGCACCACCCCTGCTCCTGCGCCCCATCCCTGCTCTCCATCATTTCCTCGTCTCCATCACTGTGCAGTCAAGCCAGACGCAGTGCTGTGCTCTCTTAGAGCACAGCCAGCCCCAAATACAGAGCTCCTTCTTCAAGAAGTCACAATTACGAAGCCTTGAAAATAATGACAAGCTTTACCGTCTGCCAGGGTACACAGCGTTGTTCCTGTCGTCGCAGTCTCTGCCTCGCCAGTGGTAGCCCCTCAGTGTCTGAAAGCCAGGAGAAGCACACAGATAGACAGGATGGCCATTGCTACTCTGGCACTTTTAATTTCACATATCTAAAATGAGAATCTCACTCAGGTGTAGGAATCAAGTGCAGTAAATGGGCTGTATTCCAGAGGCCTTGGGCTAAGCTTTAATAAATGGCACCTTGCACACTTCAGTGCAGAAAGGAGACAAGCTGGGGATTTAATTTGGGGTGCTTTTTAATACGACTTTACTTCACTCTTATTAATTCAGTAAACAGAGCACTCAGCAGCAGAGCAATTTGCTTCTGCAGGGGCACAGCTTTGTGTGTGCATCTCCCCAGGTGGCATCAAGGGATGATTGGGTTTTTCATCCAGAAAAAAACACTTTTTATGACCAAAACCCCCTCCATTCACTTTATTCCTGTTTTCACATGCATGAATGAGGCTTTGCAGAAAGTAGGAAGAATCCCATAGGCATTCCTATTGTCAAGGTTTTACTGTACACCAAGGGAAACGCTTTGCTTACCGGGAAAGTACTAAATTTATCTCCATCCAAATCTTCAAAAGGCAGTTTATTTCTCAAAACACTGTAAAAAAGCCCAAAACCCAACAAACAGAGTTAACACGTGGACAGAACCTGTTCAGGAATTACAAACCATGGTAAAGCATGCACAATAGGTAATAGCTGGCACAGCATTCATGTTCAGCTCCTTGTTCACTTTGAGCTCTGTGCTCAACCTTCAGCAAAGGGGCTCTGTCTGAAGGAGCAAGTCCTGATTTCTTTCCGTATGTGCTGGCTGAGCTGTGGAGGTGAGGCTGCTGGGCTCCTGCAATGTCAAACTTTCGGGCTCTAAAACGAACCAGGACATCAAACCTGTGGCAAAAGTAACTATAATGTGATTTGGGAATCAGGACTTTACCTAGCCTGGCAGAGCTTGCAAGCTGCCAGATATGAGATACAAATGGAGGTCCTTCTGCTTGGGATGGAGCTGCAGAAAGGGGCCTCATGCTGATGGAGATCAAGCTCCTTCTTTCCTTAAAAACAAATGGCAAATACCCTTCCTCATATTCATCCTTCAAATCTTCACACCGTCTCTCTCCTGCTGTGTTCAGTCTAGAAGCCTGCACCCTCGGCTGCAGCTATACATACACACAAACGCTTATTTCAGAGGACAAAAGTGGATTTGATAGGACCGTACACACTGAATTCACAGGTGACCTTATATTCTAACTGAGGATCAGGGTCTCACCTTGCCATTTCTGTATCTAGTCCCACAAACGTCTGGGGATGCTCAGACAGGTTTGAGAAAAAGCATCTTCCCTTGATTTGAGCAATGGAGAGCTGAGCCCCCATGGTCTCCCGCAGTGCTTAGTTATATTAATTAATGTAATAAATGTCATTAACGAAAATTACTTCTTTTTCTTCCACTGTGACTTTTGTTTCCAGCAACCCCATAGCTTTTAGCAGTACCTGAAGCAGGTGTCAAAATGATGGTGTCAGCTCTGTGCCCCTTCCTATTTAGCTTGGACACTTGCTAGATTCCACATGGCGTGGCACCTCTGGCTACAGGACATAGCTTAGCTCACCTACATTGAGCAGCCTTTCGTATGTGCCTTAGGCAGCACTCTGATGTGCTAGTCAGCCTTGCCTTGGAAAATTGCCTTACAGAGGTTTTCCAACATCTTGCACCTATAAGAGATGTTGAACCTGGCTCAGGGAGCAAATAGGTGCAAGGAGGGTGGATTCCTCATCCTGCACAAGCATCAGAATAGAGAAGTACAGAGGAGATGGGTGACACGCACTCCTGGTGGGGCTTGTAACCCTTAATCTGTCTGTAGTCAATAATTTCCACGTGCTGCCTTGGGCTCCTTCTTCTCTGCAGTAAGGCTCAGTTGCAAGAACTGGCAGAGATTCAGAGCAGCTAAAACAATCCAACTTTCAGACATGCTTTGTGAAGCTACGGAAAGAGGAAACCAAAACCCAAGGAGTGAGAGAGAGCATGAGAGAGAACTCAGAGGAGGTGAACACATCTGATCCAACGTATGATGCACAGTTTGATCCTGCTTCTACTGTCTGAACTCCCAGGGCTCAAACTCAGGTTATTCATCCTAACATTTTAGACACTTACAAGATGCTTCACGTTAATCGCTCCATTCCCAATCACATCCTGATATTGTCAGAGGAGTAAGTTAGTCCTGGCAGTCAAAATGTACTGTTGATAAAACCGATTTATTCTTAGTTTTGCTTGTCTCCTCCTCCAAGTCACTGCAGTACCATGAGTACACTGGCAAACGTGCCTTAGGGGTAACAGCCCAGCTGCTGTCCTCAGCCTTTCTCAGAAACTCCCTGTCTGCCACCCACCCCAATTCCTTAAATATCTGAGATGCCCCTAGCACTGTGCAACTGCTGCTTAATTCCTGTTCCCCACAGTGACAAAGGTGCTGGTGGCCTTCCTGCGCTGAGCCATGGGCTCCCTCTCAGGAATCTTACTTACCTGAATCCTGTGCAGCCTCCCTGGATGCTGCCTGGACAGTGGGTTTATGAAGGAACCCAACAGAAGTAAAGTATAGCAAGCTCTGTTAACTGAGGGTGAGCTCTGAAGGAAGCAAATGTACCATATTCTGTGTCTGGTTAAGGAGTGAAAACTTTATACATACTATTTAATCTTCTCACACAGGTTAGCCAGAAGAGGAAACGCACACACGCTTGAGAACCCCATGAAGTTTTTCTGGAGGGGAAGAAAACAAAAGAAGATGGATGCATTAGTTCATAGAGGTGGCGTGGCTTGGGATATTCAGTGTCAGTAAAGTCTAAACCTAAATCATGTATTTTCTGCTAGAAACACCTGAAAACCCCAACGCCGCAATAAGGATGCAATGTGTCATCCTTAGAATTTAGACCTGACAGCAGTCAACTGAAGGATTTCAACTGAAAGTTTCCCAAAAAGCTGTAAAATTAAGCAGGAAGAAGCTCCTCTGAAACTGCCTCTCATGCACCAGGGCTGTCTTTAAATCCTTTGTAAAAACTGCAGCTCTTGTGCTCATGATGCTGCCTGACACTTGGTGTGAAACCAGCAGACTGTGGACCATGGAGCTGGTTTCTGCATGTTCAGGTAGGGTGGATGAACTGAAGGTCAGGAAAAGCCCCAGAGAGAGGAGAAATGGAGGTATCCGGCACAGGCACGGAACACCCCTGGTTTTGTTCATGAGATCTTTTACCTGGAAGTCTCCTAACCAGATCTTATCTTGTCCGGACTGGCAAGCTGTAAAAGACAGCTGCTGCAGGATGAACCCTTTCCACATTAGTAGACCACAGCTGTGGGCTAATCCAGTTGGGTTTCCAGGCAGCCAGGAGGCTTCAGAAGCTAAAAGAGACCTTCCTAATGAATGCTCAAGTTACAGAAACATCACACTGCATCAGCAATCAGTCCTACAAACACGCTGCTCTCATCTAAGTTCAGGTGGTCTTTAAACACTGAGGGCATTCAAGTGGTCTATAAATAGAGGGCTGGCTGGTGAAGTCTGATTAACTGTATTCACTAAGGCTGCATTCAGCGTGCAAATGTGGAGCAGATGAGCAGATGGGCACACTCATAACTTTATGCAAAGAAGGGTAATTATTTATGTGGCCATAGCATTTAAGAGCTCTGTCCTTGGACCAACTTCCATGTGTTACATGCTTTATATACACAGAGGAAAAACTATGGTCCTTGCCCTGGAGAGACTACAACCTGAATAAAACAAGATAAAGGTTGGATACAGCTCAGGAGAGGACAATAAAAGGCTGCTCCTCACCATGAGGGGCAGTAGTCCCAGCATATAAAACTCTGATTGACAAAGGAGAACTCTGAGGCATCACTGCAGGGCAGCGAGGCAGTGGTGCCACGATGCATACAGCATTGCCCTGCAGCTCCAGGGAGGGCAGGAAGGTGTTTGCTTGGACAGGGAAGAAAGGGTGATGGAGATGAGGGTCTCTTGCTGCCCAGAGCAGGCCAGCCACAGCAGTATGTCAAGGGCAGGATCTCAATGTGGACAGGGCAGGTGGGCTAGCAAAGAGCTCCTAGTACAAACACGGCAGCCAGCATTCGCACCGGTGGCTGAAGTGACCAAGCAGCAAGGTGAAGATGAAAAAGAGAGGAACATTGTGAGGGGCACCTGCAGCGGAGATGGAGCTGTAACCGTGCGCTTTCTGAAGGACCCAACGGGGGGGGAAAGGAGAGAAATTAAGGAGACAAGAAACTTACTGTGGCTCCAGGCATCCTGCACTCTTCCCCATCCCAGTGCACCTCTGTATTTAAGCTCCCTGCCAGCCTGGCTGTAGCAGGGCTATGTCCTGAAGCATGGCAGGGACACAGACCTCCTCTTTGCTCTTGTGTGTGCACACAAGTATGGCCAGCTAGGCAGATGGGAGAGGGGCACCAGCAGGATGCCAGTTTTACTCAAAAGGCTTTGCAAACCTACATATGCCTTCCTGGAAAGAGGAAACAAACCACTCCTCCCACCTCCTCCAGGTGGGACTAACTCTGCCTACAAAAGCACAAGAGGCTCTTAAAGCTATCCATCAGGCTAAGATTTGCAATGTCTCCGTTTGAGCTCTCAGCTTTTCACTTCAGGCTAAATAACAGCATGCGAAGCTTTTGAAGTTAAGGCACCTGAAGCCAAATCTGCACCAGCAAGGCAAAGCACAGGGCTCACAAGGAATAAACACATAAATAAAACCACCTTTCACTCTGCCCACTGGCTGCATTTAAAGCCCCCCCCCCCCCTTTGCTGCAAGCAGAATAAAATCTTTCCTGCCTTTTTCTCAGCTGTGCATTTGAATATTGTTGGGGGCTGAATCTCTGCAGCCCAGAGACTGCCTGACTCACAGGGAGCAGCTGGCACGATGGTGACCTGGAAGTGGTGCAGGCACCACAGTCCTTCCCAGCAGAGCCAGGCTGTGGGTGCAGTACATGCTTTTGGGAGGAGATGCTTACTTGCCCCTGTATAACATGAATGGGTAGTCAGGAGACTGGTTCATTCCCATCCCTGCCTTGCAATTCCCTCACTCCCTCCGTGGTTTCCCACTTCTCCCACTAGCAGGCTGTGACTTGCAGGGACCATGGACCCATGATGTGGTTGTAGGCACGGTGCTTGCTCTCATTAAATGCTACAGCCACTGCTCTCTTTGTCATTCTTTCACTGCTATTGCTCAAAGATGCCTCCTAGCATCTCCCCCATAAGAAAAGTTACTGCTAGAGGTGCTCCCAGTGATTGATACCACCAATATCTTATTCATCGCCTATTAACATTCCCTAATGACATTTCTGTAACTATTTTAGTTGGGTTTGCAGAAAAGAATAATAATGAGCCCCTAATGCTTGTTGCTGTTTGGTTTAAGGCAGCCGCTCACAGATGATTCACTGCTTTTACTGAATGGAGACATCTATTAGGTTCTGGGGGGTTGTAGCCACTTCCACTGAATCTCTACATCTGCAAAATGCCTTCTCTTTTTCCCAAACCCACAACAATCCTCAGACGTGCCCAGCAAATAAAAAGGCCTGGGAGCCAGGCAGACCTCACATCCTCATTACCAACAGCCGTAATCACACATCTTTTTATGCAGTCACATAGAGCAGCCCAGCAAAGACGGGCACAGCCAACTTGCAAGAACCTCTTCAGAAGACTTTCCCCAAACATGCAATGGGGAAAAGCAACCAAAATAGCAGATATGGGAAGAATATAATATATTATATTGAATATTTAATATTGATAGATATTGTATAGTATGTATAATTTATATAACATTAGTATATATTACAATTATTATAATTATAATATTGTATATTATAATGTATATAATTATATAGGATATATAATTTGATGTTTCTGTCTCATAGAAGCCAGAGCACAGAAGATGAATGTTTTTCTCCCTCCACCAATGTGGATGCAAAGATGCCCCAGCACTCATTTAAAATAAGTTTCGGCAAGGCTCCTTATGGGGCACATGCTAAAATAAGTGCAGGAGAGGCCCAACCAACCCCATAATACTCCTTTTAGTTAAAGCTGATCTGGTATTGTGTGGTTATAGAGGTTCAGGAATGCATTGATTGGAGAAACCCAACAATGAGCTGGGACACAGTCTGCTTGTCCCTCCTGCTGGGAAATGGCAACTAGGAACAGGAAAGGGCAAGGACTGGGAGGTACAGGGACACTGAGCAGCTCTGAGGGTATGGGAGAGTAAAGGCGAGCTGGAAGGAGGCTGGAAATCTCAGGCCATCACAGCACAGTGCTGAATAGGGGGCAAAATGAATAAGGTCCTGCTGGCTGCTGCTGCGTGGGAGCCGAGTCCCTTGTCTCCAGCGTGCTGTTTATTTCCCTGCCTTGGCAATCTGGCAATGGCCTAAGGCTAATGAGGGACCCCCGTTTTCCCTGGTGTGAGCAGCACCGCAGTACGGGTCCAGGCAGAAGCAGTACCAGTAATGCCTTCACAAACAGCTGACACGTTTGCTCTGCCTTAAGTGCCTGCAGACAACTGGGAGCAAACCGTGCCTGCGCTGACCCATTAAACAAAAGCTGCCCTTCCCTTCCCAGCTGCCCTTCAGAGACCCTCCAGAGAGCTGAAAACCGGTGGAGGTGGGAGGATTCCAAACCCAGGTTTCAAGTTGAAGGGGCAAAGGCCTCTTACAACACATGCAGGGTTTGTATTCAGGCCACTGCTTGAGCTTCAGGCAACCCCAAAACGCAGGCACTGCGCTCTGAGGCAGTGGCCAGTTAATGAGGCTCCCTCTTACACACGGCTAGAAGGGATGATGGGGGCAAGGGAGAAGCATGAAAGAAAGAGGAGCAGTAATGAACCTTGCAGGAAGCTTGAAACTTCTGTGGGTGGAAGAACAAGGGGGAAATTCCTGCTTTTGTAAAAAAACCGAACAAAACCTGTAACTGCTTGTATTTTGTTTTAAGGGTGGCTGCTGCACCACAGGCAAGCTGGGCTAGCGCAAGTGTCTCTGCGTGACGAAGAGCTATGAAGCTCTCAGATGAGATCCTCCGCTGCTGCACGGGTTTCAGACATGCGTTTATGTCTGGGATGGACACGGACAGTTACCCCTTCTCCACAAGCAGGCTGCATTTGTTGCGATGCTTTTTTCTGCTCTCCCCATACTTCCACGGAGCGAGTCGGCATTCAGTTTAGTGCCCATCAGGATTGGATTCCCAATCAGGCAGATCAAACAAGGACTGACTCCTGCTAAATGCAGGTACAATGTGAGACACCCCGATGCCACGGATTTCTTACCAGGTCCTTGGAAGTCTTCACAATCCTCCGTGCTTTTCTTATTGCAGTGGTCAGCCCAACCTAGGAGAGCAAAAGCACAATAAATAAAATGAGATCAGCCTCACAGGGCCCTACCAATTTTTCTCCCCATTTCCTACCTTTCTTTTTTTGTAATGTATCATTTCCAGCACAAAAAATGATGTATGAGTCCACAAACTTGTCATCAGTTACATTTTATTGGACTAACAATCAGTTATCCAATCCCCCCCCCATGAAACTACAGTTGCAAGAGTTTATTTAGTTTGCTGCAGGGCATCATTTATTTCCTAAGGCCCAGATCAGTTAAAGAGCTGAGATTCATATCCTGACTGCACTGTGCGAGGCTTCTCCAGCGACACTTCCTAAAGAGCAACCCATCCATTGGATGGCCAAAAGAGGATTATATGTGCAATGATGGTCAGGCATGCTGTGAAAGGGTACAGAGGAAGCATTACATGGATAAGGGTTATACTCTGCTGAGGTCCATCCCAGCAGGGAACAGCTGGCACATGGGAAGCGATAAAGCAGGGAATAGATTGGAAGGCAAATCCCCTGGAGATTCCTGCCTTGGAGGGAAAGTGCAATACATTTTTGCAGCCCACCTGGTCCACAGCCCTGTGTCCTGCCTGGATGAATGCCAGCGCAGGGGGAGTAAGCAGGGACTCTGCTCCATCCCGGTAAGAGCTTACCCCTGCCTGTAAGAACTTCGCCCCATAGCATAGCACAGCACACAAGGACCGCAGCAGTTCTCCTGCCACAAGGACTCGTGCTCCTCCCCTGCTGCTCCGCTTTCACTTTTGGACAGTATTCCTTCATCTCAGTGAGGATAAGTCCCTTATGTTGTTTGTCCTGCATTTGTTAGGCCACCTTTGCAAACAGTCCTATCTGCGGGGCAGTGTCTGTGTGATGGCCTCTGCCCTTCCCCTCAGCATTCGGCACGAAGACAACTGAAAACACTGCCCGCCTGCCCTCTTTCAGAAGGAATAACTGCTTTGGCCTGCATGCTTTGAGCATTGGTAAAAAATACAATAGAATAACATAAATAAAATAAAATAACATAAAACAAACCAACCAAAATAAAATAAAAGATAAAATACAGTAAGATAAAATAAAATAGATACAGATGAATTCCTTCTGAAAGCATTTCAAATGGAAAGGAAAACCCAGTGCGTCCCAGCATGTTTAGCACTTGGTTTCTGATCAGAACTGTAAGCAAGGACAAACTGTTCTGTGTGACAATGACCAGTCCCTCCTACGGCCCAGCCTGCGGACCCAAGTGCTAGCTCCAAGGCAGAAGTTCAGCACAAGTTTATATCTATCTGGCTGGAGCTGCAGGAACTCAACATGGGGGGAAAGCAGGCGTTGCCAAGAGGTGGTATTTAAGCATTTGGAGAGGAACAAGAACCTGTCCTTTGAGCAATGGCACCTTTCCGAACAGCGGGCATGCCAGCTTGCAATATTAAAGCAGCATACATTTGCATTTAAAGCAACCATTGCCAATGTGGTGTTTCACTGGGGGTAAAATTTAGCGTGTCATTATAATTGGGTTAGGCAGTGATCAGAGCAAATTAATTAACTGGGCTATTCAAGGGTCAAAGACTGGTATTGAACAATACAAAGGGATGAGGAAGAATAAGCATGAGCAGCAAAAACCACAGACTTGTAAGTTACTGGGTTTTAATAGATGTGTCAGGTTAATATACGTGCTTAATCATAGAACCATTGAACAGTCTGGGTTGGAAGGGACCATCAAAGCTCATGCAGTTCCAACCCCCTGCCATGGGCAGGGACATTTCAACTAGATCAGGTTGCCCATAACCACATCCAGTGTGGCCTTGAATGGCTAATCCATTGTGCCTGTAGTCTTATAAAAACCTGGGGATGTCACAAATAGAGGAGAGATGCTAGGAATGAGCCAAGACACCGATTCCTAGTTTCTTCCCCTGGGTAATTGCTGTCCCCCAGACCCAAAGACGCACCTTGCATTAGTCATAGTTATGTTGTACGTAACCAGCTGCCGTCATTTCTGCAATAAAATAGCTTGAGGGATGAGGTAAAGGGCTTAAAATGGAGTACGATAGATGAGAGGTCTCCAGAGAGGTAGCATTTATCAATCCCTTTATGCTGGGCAGGGGAGGAGAGACCTTTCTTGCTCTCAGCAGCAGAGCACCTGCACACAGCTGCAGCAATACTGCACACAGAGAGCAGGAAGCAAGGGAGGAAAGGCTGAATTACCCCTGCATGTAGGAAATGCTCTCTATGAAATTCTAAGGGCGAGATCTCCCACTGCAGCAGCCAGGGCTCTGGGGTGAAGAACACAAGACATCCGCACCACAGATGGGGCTGAGGGCAGGAGTGTCACTGGGGCTTCATTCACTGCCGCCTTCCACTGCTCTGCACAGAGCCCACAGCTTCCCAGTCATGAATTCTTTGCCAGCAGATCTATTTCTTGCCATAAGCAAACACACAACACAAGCCTAATTCTCTCATTCGTCACCCCTGTTAGCCAGCTCTTTCCCAGGAGAGTGGATAGTTACAAGGTGCTCCAGTTTTCCCTTCTAACTCATTTTCATCATCCTTTCACCAGGACTACACAGACCCAGGAACCAAAATGCTGCAAAGTTTGTTAAGCAGCACTGGCAAAACTGAGGTTTGCTCTACAACTCCCACCTTTTACCCTGCGGAGTGTGTAAGGGGAATCTTTACCATCGCATGGGACAGCCAAACCAAAGGATACGTACTTTGGATGCAAAATAGGGACCTTCTCCGCAAGCCCAGGTCTAAATCAAAGGCTGGCTCAGTCCTTTCTCTTGCCAGGGAAATTACTCTGATTTCTGGGCATTTTATGCCCCTTGTTTTTTTCGGTCTTGGACTCTGCCCTGGATGGAACGTTCTGATTTACCTTTTCCAGCTTGCCTCTGCAAAACACAGTCAGCATCCCCAAGCAATGCCTCCTTATCCTCACACTTCTGTTCCCTGCTAACCCCGTGCCACCCTGCTTCCTTCAGGTTTGTCTGGTGGAAGGGTGAGGTTGTGGGGTTTGGGTTCTGGGGACTGTGTTTCGGTAGATTTCAGCTGCTTCCAAAAGGAAAGGCTAAAAGGAGGGCGGTTGGCTCCCCAGGACCCAGCCTGCCTCCCAGGCTCTACAGCCCACGGTCTTGGAGGAAGGGGACAGGCCTGAGCCTGGCTGCAGTAATGTCCATGAGGGATGTGGCTTTTGCTCTTTGCAAATCGGTGAAAGACCCAATGAAGGGGACACGAACAAGCATGAGTGCTTGTGGCAATGGCACTTATTTTGGGAGATGAAATGACATTAGCATAAACATGCATATTTTTGGTGATGCAGGATGACTCCCAGCAGAATCCTACTACTGGGCATTAAGCTGAAACCTGCAGGCACAAGGTCTCTGATAGTCCAGAGCAGAAAAGTGATGGGGAGCAGAAAAGGCACTCTGAAAGGCAGAGAGTACACGTTCCTTCTAACACAGGCCATTGAAGAGACTGTCAGCAGCAGGACCCCAGCGCTGAAGTCGAGCCACTATGCTGGCCCCAACAAGATCAATTAAAGTATTGCCATTTAACTGAACAGGCCAACTGGCTGAAAGCAATCTAGAGACAAGCTGCAAAACTGCTTGTTCCCAAGGGCAGAAAGGACACTCGGTAGGCAGTGTCTAAAACCCCTCACCTTCTTTCAGCCCTTCTCTTGTTAGAGGAATGGTTCTGTATCACAGACAGCCCTTCACCATTTGAGCTCATAAACCTTTTTGTCTAATAAAATACCCAGCCATCCCAAAGCTTGGATAACCTACCCACTGTCACTGTTCGGAGTGGTGCTGCAGCGGATGCTGACAGTACCTGCTGCTGATGTAGCTTAACCACAAGGCAAATTAGAGCAGCTTTAGCCACTGCCCAGTTTCCAGCACCTATGGCAAGCCTGCTTCTGGTGTGCCAGATGGGTCTCATGGGAGGTCATTCTCCCCTCCTACTCTGCTCTTGTGAGACTCCACTTGGATTACTGCCTACAGTTCTGGTGTCCTCCAAGAAGCTGCATGGAGACCTCAGAGCAGCTTCCAGTATCTGAAGGGGGCCTATAAGGACACTGGAGAGGGGCTCTTCATTAGGGACTGTAGCAACGGGACAAGGGGGAATGGGTTTAAATTTAAACAGGGGAGATTTAGGTTGGGTATAAGGCAGAAGCTCTTCCCTGTGAGGGTGCTGAGGCGCTGGCACAGGGTGCCCAGAGAAGCTGTGGCTGCCCCATCCCTGGCAGTGTTCAAGGGCAGGTTGGACACAGGGCTTGGAGCAAGCTGCTCCAGTGGAAGGGGTCCCTGCCCGTGGCAGGGGTTGGAGCTGGAGGAGCTTTAAGGTCCCTTCAACCCACACCAGGCTGGGAGAACCTCTTGTTGGGCAGTCAGGATGCAGTGGGAGAGACCACGCTTACCCATGTTGGATGCTCTAACTCTGCATTCGAGAGCATTGCCCTCCATTCAAACAGAGCAATACTTCACAATTAGAGCCAAGCCTCCTAGAATGACTGCAGAGTGCTAATGGCTCCAGGCAGGCTGGCAAAAACATCATTTGGGCTGATTTGTCAGAGACCAGGGAAGTATGTAATATAACGCACGTACCATTTACTCAGCTTGCAGTGTCTCCATGACGTAGGTAGTTCCCAAAGCCAAGTCTTTGCTCAAGACACACAATCTCACTAGATAACATCACAGCAACAGAACAAAACAGACTCCTGACTGAAAAAGCAGCTACATGTTGATATTTGCCACCTTAAAGGCAATCAAACGTGAACATTGTACGGCCTCATACGGGCAAGTAACTACATTTATTTTAAGTAACTCTGTGTTTATTTTACTCCCTTTGCCAGTACAAATCTGATACTAATCCTGGGAAAACGGGCATCCAGAAGTCTAAACGGGTAAATGAAGTACCTGAAAATCAATAGAGTTGAACAAACCAGTCATTAGTATTAAAGTCTTGTTGAAACCCTTGGCAGGGGACTGTGCCAGCATTTGCAGGGTCATATAACTGAAGTGATCAATGAACTGACAAACCAAAGAAGCAAATGTGAGGTAAAGTGCATTTTATGCATTGGCATCTCTGATTGTGTATTAATTTTTTCACCCATAATTCATCTTTTCCCAGTCTGAGATGTCACAGAGTCACTGTGGGCCATTTATCAACCCCTTGAGCATGAACTCCAAGCACTGCTCTTCTCCTATCTCACACAGCCTCCTCACGCTGTCTTAGGGCATCAGGTGAGCTGAACAGGAGAGACTTGTTGACAGAATTCCCTTATTCCTGATAAGAAACAAATGGACCTCGACAGAAAGGGATTTTACTCCCACTTGGAAGGGAGAGGGTTTGCTTGAGCCACTCACTCAGAGGGAGTCTCCAGGCCACGCAACTTCTGTTTCAAGAACAACCCCCCCCCAAAAGCCCCTATTCCCAGGCCCATGGGAGGTGGAAGGACCCATGAACTGTTTTACCAGCTGCAGGGTTTCTAAAGGAGCCCATCTGATGAAGTTTGGGCATCCTGGTTGAGCCAAGCTAGTGTGGGCCCTCTCTGCTGCCTGCACCCATCTTCTTTCACCCCTGCCTGGTTGCACACTTACATATCTCTATGTTGGCATAACAGGGAGCATAGCAGTCATACAGGACATACACCTGAGGAAAACAAATGTTACTGCCGTTCATGGAAGGCAAGGGTTTCTTAATATTGACAGAACTAATCCCACCTTGGAGATGAACCACAGCTCGCCAAAGCCCATAAAAAGACTCTGATTTCAATAGCTGGTGGATGCGGCCCTGTGTAAAGCATATTATGCACACCTTTAGAAACCAAACATGTCCTTATCCATCCAGATGCAGGGAAAAAGACTTACAAAAATAGGTGCCTATGTGAATCACTTGCTTTTTAGCACTGCCAGACAAGCACCATCACTCACAGGTTTTAGTGTGATCAGGGCTGTGGGATGACTGGGGCAAAACACCCAGTCCACAACTAAAAACATCCCAAAATCTGTTTAGATACCTATGAAGATATGTATGTGTCCAAGTGACAAAGGCCTAGGACACGCAATCAAGTTACTGTGGCGTAGCAAGGAACTGTACATCAAAAAAGGGATGGTAACTAAATACGCTTCCAGCCTGTGGCAAAGATTATGCATGTTAGCTTAAACCTCTTGCACTGCAGACAAATCCAAGTCTGATAGCCCTGCATTTACAGCGGATAACTTGAACCTACACAGGCTGCTGCAGCAGATTAGCAATGTGGGGATACACCCCCATGTCACCGGTGCCATGGTGGTACAGAGGAACCTTGGCTGAGTACCTGCCTTGGGGTTATTGTACAATAAAGCTCACAAAAAGTGAATTTTGGTTTCCCTGCTCTTGTCCTCTGACCCAAGAGGATTTAGCCCTGTATTTCCCACTCTCCCACAACCACAGCACTGATGGTCCACACAGCCAACGCACGTTGGGTACCTCTCCTTCCAGCACAAATATTCTCAGTGTCCGCACTCACACCGTCGAAGCTCATTTCCCAGCCAGCGCACGTGCACTGGAAGCCCCTGTGCCCTTGAGTTCCAGCTCAAAAGACCTTCCACAGTCAGTAGCTCTGAGGAAACGTGGAAAACCAACTCACCTTCGGAGGGCTGTAGAGATGACAAAGCGGTTGTCCCGGATCCTGTTTACACAGCTTCAGGGAATGGCAGACCACATCAGCATTCATTTCCCTGTCTATGCTGAAGGAAATGGTGCATAAACAAAGACTATTATGTTCTTCTGGGTGCTTGAAAGGAGAAGCTATTTCCATGGGAAGCTAAATCTCCCCGACACCGAACAATAACCTCAGCTCTCTTCATTGGGGCTGGTAATCGCTTGGCTGCTCAGTACAGTGCTGGGCCCTAACGATTTCCTGCCATGGCATCCTATTCAGCATTTAAAATTGGGTCCCAGGATGATGAAAAAGCACTGTGCTTTATACACAGCACCTGAATCAAGCACATTATGATTGTTCTGGCTTTTTCCTAAATAAATCATAAGTCTGACGAAGATTTAAAGGTTAAAGTTAATGCATATGTGGTTTGGCACATAGGAACATTCAATCATTAACTCAAGAAAACAACCAGAAATCCTCCAAAGATCCTTAACCTTTAATCACCAAGCACAACTGCAAGGATCGCTTCTTGCTTTTTGGGACACACCTCTGGGCTAATCAGGAATTACATTAGAATGTGTGATTACAGCACTGCTTGGTCCTGTGCGCACTTCGCAGTCCCTGGGCCAGTTTTAAGAAGGAAAGTAAAAACCCTGGGGAGAAAGCAGGTCTAGCAAAAGCTCTGGTAATTAAACTAAGGACTTTTAAAGGGGAATAAAACGACCTACATTTTATTGTCTTAATCACTTACATTACTTAGTAGGCTTCCCCAGGAGTGTGTATCAAGGCTGGGGCTGAGAGCATGTAGGGGCTGACAACTAGAAAGCTTGATTTAAGGTAGAAGGGAAAGCAAGAGGCAAGCGTTACAGCGGTGTGACTGCAGAATCTGTCTCACACACACGGGTTATTCAGATTCCTCCCTCAGCCACATGAGCTGCTTTTCAAAAGGCAATTACATCAGGTGGGCCTGATCTGGGATTCAAATGGAGTATGAAAACAGGTACCCATGGCAGCCGGTGTTTATTCACTCAGGAAGAGCTCTGCCGAAGCCAAACCAGAATCACTCTCCAGCACCTCTGCTTTAATAATTACAATGTGATTTCAAGAATGAAAGCCCTGCACTTCAATCCAGCAGCGCATCCGTACACGTCAAGAGCAAACTAAGACTTGAGAGGACACAGCAATACTTACAGCTCAGCTATGTGTGGTCCATAAAGTTCAGCAAGTATGTAACAGAAACCTTGCAGTTTCTCTAGAAAACATAAATTTTTGGTAACTGATGGAGCATGGTGAAAGGGTTTTATAACAGTCAAAATACAGCAGGGGTTGGTTCACTAAGGTGAATGCTGTTTATCTTAGGAGAATGCGTGTGAATTTACAACCTCAGCCTAGCACCCGAGAATGGGAAAACATGAAGTTCTAACCTTGCCTAAAACCCTTCTATGGCTTTAGGCTAGAGAAGCCGCATGGCAAAGACTAAAAAGGGTAACCCATATTTGTTAGATGCTCCCGGTGTAGCATCGTGGAAATAAATCCCACATGCTGCAGCATCTTCCAAGCGGTTCAAACAAACAGCTCGGTAGGTTTGCGAGCAGAGAGAAAACAATCACATACATCAAAGTGCAGAAAGTGATGTTGGGCCTGATGCTGCTGCGAGAGCTGCCTCGGAGCTTCTGCGGGGCTGCGAGAGTTAAGAGAATTCACTTTGTGTAGAGCAGGAGCTGCGCAGGAGTGATTGCATCCAAACCAGTATTTGACACTTTTTGTCTGGCTTCCTTTCAGTCTGCAGCCATGAGCCTTTTCAGGATGCTGGCTTAGGCAGCTTGCTCTAATCTGCCTGAAGCATGCTCTCCAGGGACAGCTCATCACAGGTTTCTTTAAGGTACCATTGTAAAAGGAGAGTGGTCCCCGCACCCAGGACCTGAATACAGGCACACTGGTCTGACAGTTCCCATGAAGGAAGAGGGCCCCGGCTGACCAGAGCTGGTTAAGCACACACGTGTCCCGCAAAGGCAGTCTCCAGCCTTGTTTCGGCAGGAGCTGTGCTCAGAAGAGTCGTGGAGAGGCAGGTTCCTACAAGTGCAGGGACAGGAGACTTGCAGCTCCTGAAATTCCTGAGAGGTGACATTTTCTCTCGCACCTCCATTATCCAGACAGATAACCCTGCACCTGGGGGAGCAAACGGAGCGCGCTCATCTTTAGAAGCAGCCGGAGCAGCTGCTTCCCTCCGATTCTGAGCTGAATGTTCAGTTTTACCCAGCATCAGGACATGCCAGGGGTCTGCTGCGTTCAAGGACGGTGGTTTTGGTCTGGGGAGGGCGCAAAAGCTCACAGCGCTGATTCAATCAGGAGGCATGGGTGTGCTCCCACTCCCACAGCTCCTACCCTGCCAGGACTGCAGACACCCTGGCTGGCAACCAGCGCCCAGGAAAGGAGGGCTGGGAACAGAAGGGCACGGCAGGGAATGAAGGATAATATCCTCGGCATATGATGTTGCTGACAGCTTCTGTAACTACGATAGCTGATTTTTCTTATCCTGTGCCAGGTGTTTTACTTCAATCAAGTTATTAGCTTCATTTCTTCACCTCCTTTGCCACATAACTACTCTCTATTGGCTCTTTAGAAGCAGTCTGCAAGTTAAAAATTGGTCTCATGGCTAGAATTGCATTCTATTCTTGTTCACCTAAAAGGAAAGACATCACAGACATCAATAACCCTGCGTTCAGTACCATCACTGATTAAAACTCCCTCTCATGAGACTTACCATCAAGGCACGTGGCTAACTATAGGAGACTGCAGGAGAAGGTGGCTGGCTTCCCCAACCCAGGAGGGGAGGGTTTGGCTGGGAAGCTGATGTTAAGGTCTGCTGGTCACCCTGATCTCTAGGCACTGGTTTCCTTATGCACAGAGGAAACTTGGGATGTGACTACCCCACAGTGTAACAAACAGTTGGTGGAAAGAACAGCAATAACATAAAATCATCATTGAGCACACAGGGTCCTCTCGGAAGATACCGATGCCATTTATGCTTTAGCTTCCAGCAAAACAGACCCAAACCACAGCAGTGTTTGTAGGACTTGCCCTCCAAGCCAGCCTGCCCTCATGCATTCAAAAACCTCTGGCTCTGCGAACACACACAAGGAGAAGTTATTGCAGAGAGAAAGCTCTGCTAGGAATAAGCTGCATAAGTCAGAAAGGAGGGGGAGAAAGAGAGAGGGAAAATGAGGAGTAACTTGGAGTGTTCAGGGGCAAGAGAAGACCTTAAACCAAACTAAATGCAGAAAACCTACAGAAAATTTAGAGTATACTTGCTTCTGCCCAGCTTTGGGTAAAAGAGATCCCCTAACTGCACTGTTCTTCCATGACTGTTGTGTACACAGCTCTGTACCACCTACTAGGAAGAAAATTAACTCCATCCCAGCTGAAATCGGGGCACTGATAAAAACCCTGAAGGTTTTCCTCTATAGCTTCATAGTCCTAGAAACACAAATGCTGGCTGAATCTCCGAGGGTAAATATTTGCAAGAAAGATGGTATTAATCAGGATGCCATTTCCACTTGAGCTCTACGGTGTTTACACAGCAGTGGCTGACACAGAAGCAGAGCATGGCCCAGAGGCAATGCCAGATGCAGGAGGTCTCAAAGCACAGTTCAGGTACCAGGCACCTCCGTTTCATCAGGCAGCCTCCCAGTGTCCAGGCAAACATCCATCCTTGCACCATAAATACAGCCCGTTCCCCAGACCTCCCTTTCTGATCGCTGAAGAGCCTCCTTCACTCGTGGTGTCACTGTTCTGATTTTCACAGGTTTATTGGCCTTGTTGCTTGCATCACACACATTACAAATATTGCCCTATAAGTAAGGATGCAATTGTGTCTGCTGCACAGCCTACAGGGATTGAGGGGGATTGATGGGTACTGAACTTTTCTCTCTCGTTTTCCCTGTTCTTGAGCATCATTTAACTTCACTGAAGGCTTGATCGAGCCCCAGCTTGGTTGTAATTGAACTTCTAGAAAGCCCTTTAAAAAAATACATAAGTAAGTTCTTATTTGCATTTTGGCCTTTAAAAAAGCCCCATTGCCATTAACATGCTGCTGCCATTCTTGCAATCAGCTGTAGGCATGTGTATAACAATGAAGTTGTTCTTTCAGGTGAAATGGCATGGCCTGCTTTAGTAGCTTTGCTCCTTATGAGCATCCAAAGCTCTTCTGTTGTTTCAAGCAGCAAGAGGAAGCTGGGCTGCAGCGTTTCCCTTCCTTAAGAGGATAAATCTGTAGCTCTCACTAAATCCATAGGATTTTCCACTCTTTTCAAGTTCAGGGTCAGCTTTTTTTTCCTATTGGGTGTTTCCACACATCTCATAGGAAATCTCATGGCTGGATTATACAGATTTAACTCAACGAATAATAGGATTTTATGTGTGTAAAGCATGACAGATGAAAGAAACATCTTGACATGTCAGTGGAACAAGGTCCACTAGGTGAATCGTGAGCACAGAGCTCGCATGTCATATTTTAAAGAAGAAAATTGTATTTTAATAACAGGATCAGTGCTTCTAATTGCAACTTCATAGTTGTGTGCCTGGGATTTAAAACACTGAGGATATGACTTATGGACTAGAAATCTGGTAAGTATCATTCTATCAATGAGTGAATCCCAGCAATTACCTCCCTGCCCCAACCTGCATCGAGAAATCCCCTCTTGGAAAGGAGGGAATTAATATTCTACAAGCCTCTTCTGTGAAAGCAGGGTCTACAGAGCAAGATGGTTTCTCAGAGACACAGCTTGTGAAGTCCCATATAAACAGCTTTCAAATGAAGAATCCTAAGGTGCCTTTTTACATTTATAGTGTTAAAAAGATAGCACGAATGTGAGATCCAGTTACTTAGTCTCTGAGGCACAAAGCTATTCTGGCATTCAACCCATTCTCTGTTTAGGGATGTGCATTTGGACAGCTAAGATTCTATGGGCAGATAAAACGTGGGGCAGAAAAAGGGGAGTTTACGCATACGCCTGTGGAATAGGTATTGCTTTTGAAATGTGTATCACCAGCTCCATTTCGATAGCTTTCCTGTGCAGAACAAATGCTCGCATCTTACATCTGTCAACCCCAGCTCGTTTCTGAGATTCTACCACAGCGGCTTCCTAGAGCTGCTGAAAACAGTTTCACCTTTGCAGCTGCTACGAAGACCCATATCAGCAAGAGAGAGGAGTGCTTGGGCATACACTGAATCTGTTCTTAAGCTGCTAACAAAGAGACAAAGCGGAGGGAAAGGGAGGGAAGGGGTCTGCATGTGTTGGTCCTGTTCACCCTAACTTTGGGATGAAATCTAGAGGCACCTTAGCCACACCACTGGCTTCCCTGCAGATAGCACCTTGCTGTCTTTCAGCTCCATCCATTTGAGATGCTGCAAGAGAGCGGATAAAGCCTTTCCAGGCTCCACGTGGGAACTTTTAATTAACAGAGACACACAGCAGAACCAACACAACATATGGCGCGTTACTGGGTACTTACCAGGTATGTAGCTGCACAGCCTCTCCGTGGCTGCCTTTACCGTACTGTTGTGCCACTGTGCAAGCTGTTCAATTACAGACACCACAAGCACGCACCCTTCAAACAAACAAACAGAAAGAGGGAACAGGGTTACCTGGGAAGTGTGATGGAGCACCCCGTGCCACGGAGGTGTTTCAAGCATCACTGGGCATTTCATTTCTTGAGACGCTCCGTGGCAGATCAGCGTTCAAGGGGAAAACACACCTGTGAATTTGAGCCTTTACTCAAAACCTGGAGGTTATCCCAGAGAGGATGCCAGAGGAGCGCACGGAACAGCCTGGCTTTTACAGCACTGGATGTGGCTCCTGGAATAATGATTTTCCATCCTTTCAAGGATGAGAATGATGGAGCCAGGGGGACAGCAAGTGTTACAACTGCCTGCTTGGCCGCCTGCTCCCTCGTTATTTCCCACAAGGAGGAGGACACAGGTCTGTACTTGAGGGGATTTCTACACTTCTCAACACACACCGCACAGAGGGCTACCAAACACAAATGGGTGCGACAGCCTGCACAAGGGATGTCACGAAGAAGCAGACGTATGTGCCGAGCATCACAAAGCGCCCCTGGCAGCAGCTCTTCAACGACTTCCCTCTGAAGCCCAGCAGTGTTTGGCATGCAGAGGGCTGCTGGGCCCAGCTACCCATTTGTTAATGCCAAAACATCTCTGGAGTTCATTCTGCTTTCCTTCTGTGGCTGGAAAGAACCCATTCCCTATGACCTATGAAGCTGGTTATTTCTCATCACTGATCTGGGGGTGAGCAAGGCTAAAATCCATCTGCTCCTTGGACTAGCTGCGACTGAGACCCAAGACCTTGCATAGGGAAGTATTTCTTGAGATGTGTAGCACTTTTTCTGGCATTTTATGGGATGAAGCATGTTCAACGTAATCCCCACATAGCAATCATTCAAAATCCCCCTGATGACCATAAACGGTTCGTTTCAAGTGGGGTTTAGATTGCTGCAGGCCTGCAGCGTGCTCTGTCTCTGCAGTGGCTTCATCATTTTACAATGAAGCCATGTTTGGCGACTCCAGCTCTGAGCAATGTAGTCAGACCTGGCAGCAGGGTGAGATGCCAGCCTGTGTAAGAGAGCTGGGTACCGCAGGCAGCCAGGAGACAAGGACACCAGTCTCCAGCAGCCTGAATGAAGATTCCTCTTTGCAATCCCTGTAGCTGAACCCTGTTTCCTCCTCTCTGCAAGAAACCTCAGCTCTCAGGACTTGCTCTGGCAGTCTAGAAATGAAGGAGAGCTGCAGCATTTGGATGAGATCCACAGCTCAAGAGCATCAGTGTTCAGGTTTTCAGACTGCCACAGCTCTTCAAAGCGAGCTTTTCAATTCCTTCCAAACTTCCCTGCCTCTGTGCTATTAAATCAAAGTGCTGGTTTTCAACGTAAATAACTTTGATGCTCCTATGCATCAAGAAGCAAGTCAAAGAGGAGGTAATACAATTGGATCTTGCTGTAAGACCCATATCTTTTAGTCTTCTATTACTTCTTCTACCCCAAATACAGTAATCCAGTGGAAATTATAGTGAACTTGCCACCTTTTTTGCAGGGATAAAAGCTCACTTCTCCATACTTATTAAATAAAACGCTCACTCACAGTCCTCTGCGGAATGATTTATAAAGCATGCTAAGAGCCATTACCTCCAGTCAGCCAGAAAGAACAGGAGAACAAACAGAGGCAGATAAAACCAAGAGAAAACCCTGAAGCAAGTCGTTCCTTCTGTCCCAAACATAGCCAGAGGCTAGCCAGAAGAATTAACAGGTAATTAAAACACAATAGCTCATAAAGAGGGAGAAGAAGAATAATAAAGACCCAAACTAAAACCAAAAGGGACATCCAAGCTGGAGGGCAAAGCATGCTCAGGACTTGTGCTCAAAGAACAGCCCAGGGCCCTCTGGTCCCTGTCTCACCTCCATCACTTAGTGCTGGGATGGTGGTGCACGTCCTGGAAACGCACCTAAAAGGCATTGCATAACCTCATTCTTACAGGGCCATATTATTAACACACATGAGCAACCTACAGCCAACCCAAACCACCCTTCCCCTGCCTTCTATGCCTGTTTTACTGATGAGGATGGAGGCTCAGAAAAACTGAATGACAAAAACGATGTTTAACCACAAACCCACGTGTTCTTCCTGTGCCTTCCCTTCTTCTCTCACCAAGGTCAGGCTTTCACCAGACAATCTTGCTGTCTAGAAGTCAGAAAGGCCACAAGAAGTCCAAGCAGAGAGATGGGAAGGAGCTTGTTTGTCCTTTGACTTCTTTCTAAAGGAGGCAGCTTTTGTTGCTTCACCTCTCATTTTTTTGCACTGGGAGCCTGAGGAAGCTGCAGAGGAGAATGCTTCAGCAGGCAGGAGCTGGGGGAGCAGACAGTCCCCAAAGCACAGGCTGAAGCAGAACTGGGCAAGGTTCTGCCTAACGGTTGGTCCCAGGGTAAAGGTGCAAAGAAGCTCCTCTCTCTGACTCAGATGCTGTCCCACAGCTCTCATTCTCTTCTCACCTCCAGTACAGTCGATGCAGAGAAAGAGGCTGATGGACAAACAGCCTGAGTGCTCGAAATCCACAGAGCTGGGCTGAGGATAAACCCCCCTGGTATTTCCATGTCCTCTCTTATACGTGAAGACAGCCTCCTCTGAAGATGTGAGTTTCTCACACTTGACAAGGTACCATGTGGGGTGGGGAGGGAATAGCTATTTTTGGTTCAGCCCGGCTGAATATAAAGAGAATTCTTAATCACAAACACAGCCATGCAGGTAACCCCACTCACGGAGAGCATCCCAGCAATTCAATGGAAATGCTTCACGTTGAGAAGTAAGTCAATTTGGTGTCTATCGAGCCAGGCCCAAAGGGAGACTCGCTCCACATGACAATTAATGGAGCCATCGCTGAGTTTGTGCAGTACTTCATGCAGTACCTGCGACCATAGAGGCTATGTGGATATAAATAACAATAATAATAGCCTGGCTACTTGGGAAAAAGGCAGGCTCCACACTTTTTTTCTGGATAAAAACATGCTCCCCCCAGTAATTCAGTTTTATCCTCCAGGAGAACCTATGTCCTGTAGGTAAAATCTGAAAAGATCAGTGTCCTAAAATGAATGTTAACTCAGACTATCCTCATTCCTACTACAAACCTGCTCTCTTTTCAGTCATACATAGCATCTTCCTCTGGATTTAGTGGCAGAGAAAGGATTCACGGCTGGCTGCAGCAGAAGAGGCACTACCCCCTAATGAAACGAACAGAAGCCTTGCTGCACACCAAATATCATCTGAAGTGCTAACCAGCTATCCTAGCCTTTAATGGCTCTTAATCCTGCTGGCTAAAAATGGAAATTAAGTAGTTAGCTAAAAAGGACAGGGGGAAGTCGGCTGTCTTGGGCTGCAGAAATATCACTGCTTTAATTACTTGTGATGTGTGCAAGATTATCAACTTTTTAATACTTTAGCACTTAGCAGTAGAAAAGCACTTCCAGATCTGGCCATTAGCAACTCTTGCTTGCTTTTTTAATTTAGCAGATATTTAGATGTGATTTATTTCTCCTCAGGAGCTGGGCGCACACACAGCAACGCCGATCGGCTTCTTAATTAAAGGTTAAAAAAAGCTCTAAATCTTTATAGCTGCACATGATTTCCTTTAGAACCATGTTCCCAGAAACTGACTTTGCTGCCTCACCTCAAGAACAGGTTTCCTTGACAGCCTGAAGGATGTTTTCTCTGGAAGAAATTCACTGGCATTATAATGCCTACCGGCCATTAGAAACTAGACTCTGCCATTAATAAAACGCCTGTCTCTTTCAGCGATAGCTTGTCCCATCTGCTATTAATTTCTGAAGAGATAAGAGAAAACCATAACCATTTTGCTCAGTAATCTGCAAACTAACACGTCAGGAAGTACTTCTGTCCATGTAGTGTGTAATAATAAAAAATAGCATGTAATAATAAAATGACATTTCCAAGAAGCTCAGGGGGGGAAAATCACATTCTGATAATAAAATCAGAGCTACAGAAATTCATTCCCTGGCTGTGAAGCCTCCGGCAGTTTGAGCAGACTATTTAACTCAATCCACTTCTGCCGCACGCGTCTGAAAGGCTCTATAATTAGAATTACACCTAGGGAAGTCAAGAAGTGTCTGGGTACTGAAAGCCTCCTCTCTTGAGCTTCTGATCTGTAGATATATTTGTCTCAGTCAAACTCCGTTACATGGGATCTCTGGTGCCTGGCACACCCCCCTTTGCCATCCTTTGCTCACGTTCCGGGGTGCTGGAGATCTTTTCTGCCCTCCAGCTGGATCGCTGCTCCCCAGCCATAAATTAAACGTACCCCTGGAGCACCAGGAGGAAATAAGCCCCCAGAGGGGGCCTTGGACACAAATAGCTCTCAGCCAGCCAGGCTGTGGTCACCCTGCTTGCTCCTGGTGGAGCAGGAGCCGGAGCCTCGCTTGGTGAAGCACCAAACCTCTGCCTCAGATATCTGTCTGCACCAATAAGACCCTGAATAAATGAAGCTGTCTATCACATTCCTGGTTTTGTAGCCTTCTAAGATGGAGGTTTTCCCAAAGCACAGTCTTCGCTTCTTCCCTTTAAAGTTGATCGTAGGCTCCAATGCACCTCTTAAAGCCTACGGATGAGGAGTCCCCAGAGCCTGCCTGCAAAAGAAGATACTGCTATTCCCTGTGCAGATGCTGTTGATCTGGTGTAAAAACACCTCTTTCCAAATTCATCTCATCCACTTCCAGTTCAACCTGGAACAAGACATTCCAGTTTGAAATAAGAGCATTCACATGGGCAGCTAATAAGAAACTAGGTTTTCTCCTCCGAGATGGGCACATGCATGTGGGCATTCTAGGTGCAGGCAGGCCACGGATGTGCAAAGTTAGAGTACAGGAATGCTTTCTTTTTCACTATATATTCCTTTCCTAATACTTCCCAATACCCATTCTGCCTACTTTCACTGCTTCCCAGCACTGAGCTGACACTTTGGAAGAGCACCCCTTTATAACCTCAAGATTTCACTCCAGAGTGGACATTCTCAGCTCAAGTAATATAACCG